TCAAATCGTAGAGTCGCGCGAGTAGCTTCTTTCGCTCGCCTTCGTCTGCCCAGTTAGTGCTCGATCGTAGATTTTTCATTCGTTCCATTGTTTTCTGATTGTAATCCATCAAGTATCTGGAAAAATCGTTGTCTTCGCCTTCGTCGTCGGCGCTGTCCTCGGACGCGCTGCTCTCGCCCAAAACCGTGAAATTATGTGCACCATTGCCCGCGTCTTCGTCGTCGTCGTCGCCTTCGTCGTGGATCAAATCGTTTTCGTCGGGTTGTTCTTCGTCGTGGCCTTCGGGACCCTCGTCGTCGAAACTATCGCCGGACGAGTCGTCGGGGTTGAAAATTCCGAACCACTGGTGCACCATTGCTTACACCGGTACAACACACGGTCACTTGAACACGATGGTACACTTGAAGTTTTTTACTTGAAATTCTTTCACCGAGAATCGCTTGCCGCAGTCGATGTGCGATCTTTTTTTGTCGTTTTACTAATCGCACTCAGTGCGGCGTCGTAACGTTAACTGTGGCGGTTGGTCGTTGGAATTCAACGAACTGCGAGAAGCGTATCTTGACCGTGAGAGGGCAGATGCGTCGCGATCTCCACGCGTGAAGCAACTGAAGACGTTCGTTTGTTTTTTCGTGGATTCAAGCGATAATATTAATGTTCTTTTCCAAAAACTACATGGCCAAATAAATCATTGGAAGTATATTGTATTCAAAAAATGACCGCATGTAGGTGCAAAGTGGGTTTAATCACCGGAAATAAAGACTAATTTTTTAAAACAGATTTGAGAGTAATCTTCAAGTTTTCAATGCGTAAGCGAAATATTGAATTGTTTGTCTGACTAGACTAGAACATCACTTCTTTGAGGTATTAACAAATCTCCCTAAATAATGCCCTCCCCCGAAGGCGAAAAAATCAGAGCTCAAATCGCATCAGAAACAAAGGGCTGCGCAAGCCCCGAAGGAGACGCGTTATTTTGCGGCTTCCACTCCGTGTGTACGTATATTTTTTTTATTTTTCGAAAGGATCTTTCGCGAACCGAAAAAAACTCGAGACAAAGGAGTGTCAGGATATAAAGCCTTGCACAGAGTAATATTCCTTTTTCCCGAAAAATTACGCAAAAAGAACGCATTTCGCACGTATATAAAATAAAGAGCCCCGCGCGCGAGTTTCTTTGTCGAGACAGATAGAAATCAAATTTACCCTTTTACTTTGCCGAGTAGATTTTTATTTCGTGGCCCGAAAAATTCAAACACCAAAAGCACAAAGATGGAATTACGCGTCTCCGTGCGGTTTGTTGGCATAGAAAAAAAGGAAAGGAAAGGGAAATACAAGCCCTTTTCAGAAAGAATGCGTAAAGCCGGAGAATTGGTATACGTATATATATAGAGAGGATTTGGCATTGGTCTCGAATTGATCGGTTTATCCCTTATTGCTTCTCTCATTCATGAACGCAACTCGATGTGTTGTGTATGTAAAAAAAGCTCGACGAAAAAAAAAAAAAAACATACATCGCAATGCAGAGGCACGAGAGAGAGATTGGAAGCAAATAAAATCCCAAGCCCTCAAAGTACAGCAAAACTGTATGTACAATGTAAATACGAAGAAGATGATTCGATCGAAAAAGCACACGATCATACAGCGACGACGATGACGAAAATAAAAGAGCTCGGTTTCAACGATAAATCAGCTGCGATCGTAATTCGTAATTGGCTTAATGTAAATTGCTCTGCGGAGCTGTACGAATAAGGACTTTAAGTAAGGCACTGCTGCTGCTGCTGCTGCTTTACATTGTACGCAGAGTCCGAGTTCCTCGCGCGGCTGCAGGAGATTATGAAAATGCGAGCCCGAGTGTAATAAATATCAAAGCACTTATTATATGTAGCAACACACACACACACGTACATGTCCGTAAATATATGCAGGCCGCGCGGCGCCGGTGTGCGACAAGGTTGACCTAGAATTTTAACGCGCCCGAGAAAGGGAGCAAGGGTACGTGCACCTGAATAGATTTAATTTTTTCTCTCTCTCTCTCTCACTCACTTTAGCTTTTTTTTCTTGCGCCAAGAGTGCAGTGGTGCTGCTGTACTGCTATTGTGCATACGAGCCTGCGGCGCATTAAGTAGCTGCTGCTGCTGCCTCACGTTCGGCACCCCCGCGACGACGATGACGACGACGACGAAGACGACGATTTATTTTTCATTCTGCAGCTGTATACTGGTGGATAAGGGAGTTTTACGAATATTCGGGCGATTTTTTATCCAACGATGCGCGCGATAATTTATATAAAGGCGAATTCATCTCTGCGACGCTTCGCGAGCTTCTTTTACTCGTATGTGTGAATTCAATGCCGAAAAATCTTTATTGTATCCGCGCGCACATATCCTGTGTGCGATATTATATATAGGTGCGTGCCAGGGGCTATTGAATAAAATATTTGGATCGCCGAAGCGATAGAACGCCGCATTGAAGTCTCGAAAAAAGGAGACCGCGCGAGAGACTCCGTCAATGGTACTATATTACGATTCCACTGAGCTGATTTACGATCGATCTTTTTCCGGTTTTTTTTTCTTCGCGACGAGCGCGCGTTTATATATATTACACTCGTACGGAAAAAAAATCGAGACTGCGGATAATTGAGCACTGCGTGCGTATTAAAAATGATTGCCACGATTAATCTTATACCGGCATCGCCTCGATTATTCCGTTTTTATATTATAAATGCCTGGAGTGGAATCGAGAAAATTATTAGAACTAATACTACTCGTCGAGGTGATATTCCATCGGCAATTGGTTCTTACTTTTGGATCTGTATATTGGTCATTATTAAAAATATTCACGTACTCGAGTAGATTAAAAACACTTCGAACAACTTAACGATAAATTTTAAAAATAATTCTGATTAAGTATCCAAATTAGGCTTTATAGCATCTTTACGATCGCTCCATTAATAAAGAAAATATCTCTTAATGAAAACATTGACCATTTTATCATAATCAATTTTTAAACCAATAATTATTTATATTCATAGTCAATAATACTTTACAATTACAATATTAACAATACATAAATGCTCTTACTCCAATTATAAAATGACTTTATCTTGAGAGTTGACAAATATGTATACGAATAAGAAACTGCCATGGCTTAATTGTTGATTTTTACAATGATTTCATATCGTCTGCGGTTTATTTGTAAAGCTAAAATAGCTCTACGTAAAAATGTACGTTGTATATAGCATGTGTGTAAGTGTGTAAAATTTTTGCTCAGCTAACACGAGCCTACGAAATCAATCATTTTTATTGATTTTTATATTTACTGACTTTCATTGATAGAGAAATGTAAACAAAGAGACTAATTTTTAACTCTGAAAATCTAGAAACATAAAATTGTAACAACTATTCAACCGACTCGTTGTTTTATATCTATATTACAGCGTATTTCATTCTTACTACAAATTTCGATAATTTGTGTAACTAGTGAACGTTCACAAAATAAAAACCATTGAATACATTTTGACATCAGTTTAATACTTTTGAAATTCACTAGTAAACTTCTTCATCGTAAAAATATTTCAAATGGAAAATTATTAATACTTAAGACTTACCTACTCAAAGAAAAAAAAACCAAATTGTACAGTAATTAAGGGCAGTAAAAAAAATCAATGGAATAACATTAATTCAATGCGCTAACTTTAAGGAGAGACTGTAGGATGTGTTTATGTATGTGTGAGTACGTTTTTTAAATTTTAAAACGTCGTTTGATTGCTTCAACAGTTAAACGAGACTTTTTTGTCCTCATATAGCTTCACCCGACAGCGCCTCGTTGCGCGTGCTAACTCTTTGTATCATAACATCTTCTAATTTTTATATTTTTTTCCGCAGGTGAAAGGTGATTAGTTTTATAAATACATTATACTTCTCGATCGTATTCATCAATTTCACTCTCACGACTTGGATCATTCACTCTAAACTTAAAACTCAAAGCGTCATATGAATGCACATCGCGGTTTATAGAGCAAAAAATAATCCTCGACGATGAGGAATTACGCGAGGCGAAACACACTAGATTATTGATTCAAGAGAAAATACTTCACTCCAGCAAAGACCTGCAGTTGCTGTCTCGAACCTCTTTCGTTGCCTACTCTTTTTGGGTTTACAGAATAGTGTTTTACAGAAAATCGCAAGATTGCCAAGTCAATATGATAATTTTCAAGCAACTTCAAAGCGCATTAAACTATAAAATACTCCATGACACATTGCGAGTCACTCAAAAAATTTGCATGGATTAGATAACAATAACTAACTACACTAATATTCAGTTTTGTGGTTTATATATATTTTAAAATATTCATAAACCATTCAATGAATGAATTTGGGCCATAATCAAAGATATCAATGGACAGGAATGGCTTACAAAATATCTCACGAATTTTCAAGCTAACATTATTGAAAATAAATATTTCTGAAAATTTTCATGATCTGTTTACCAAAAAAATCGTATAAAATGCTGTAAAATTCACCCTTGTACTACGGTGAAATTCACTTTTGAAATTAAAATCGAAATCAAGTGATTCTGGTTAAGATTGTAAGAATATTTCAAGTGATGTTCCATTTTTAGTATTATTATATTTTGATTAAACTAATAATAATGTTTTGCAGAACCACTTTACAAAAATAAATCAACTTTTTTCGTTAAATTAATTTTAATATCATATATTTGTAACCTTTACAAGTTTGCCGTCGTCACGTAATATTTTAGTATCATTCTGAAGATACACGATAGTCAACGTCTCGCAAGTGACCCGCTTTTAATATCATTCAACTTTCTTTACATATGCATAATAATGACATACTCAGTTCAATTATTTTTTGCTCAGTTTACAACTTAGTTTAGCAAAAAACAATATCAAAAATCCTTTTTTAAGAAATTAAAAGCATTTTAATTATCGATTGCAAAGCTAATTTAAAAAAGTGTAGAAAACAAATTAAATAACGAAATAGTCATAAATTTCAAAGATTTATTAATAATTAGTCCTCTCAACTGTTTTAAAAAAACATTTACAAGTCTATGATAAATCACTCACATTTTGCTTAAATTCATAACACCAAGAACAAAAACGAAACAAACTGTAAACATTCACCTTAATACTATAGCTTTGAAATTCTCATAAAAGGATTTCCTTTTTCTCAACCGCCATTGTCGAATATTGGCTTGGCAAAAATGTGTAAGTATCTCATGTTGACCATCTCACTATACCACTATAAAAATCAATAATTCTTTTACAAACAACTTATTGACCGTTTAAATTCATTAAATCTGTAACTGAATTTTCGTTTTTAATTTTCATATAGTAGTGCAATGGTATTTAGAATGTCAAATAGAGTAGGCTAATAAAAATGAAGAAAATTAAAGGAGGTGAAACGTGTCAATGTTTTACAGTAAGTTAAAGACTTTTCAGATCATTTTTCCCAGCAAAAATCCAACCAAAACCATGGCTACAGCAATGATGATTTGGGTGGTAGACATTGACATAGGGTTGCTGGGATGATGGTGTGATGTCAAGCCTGAGACTGAAGCAAAACTAACATCTTTTCCCAAAGCAGCATTTTTCCATTTCAAAACTTCCTCCTAATAAACAATCAATAACAGTTAATACTTGAAAATGTTTTTTGTAAAGAAAAAATAAAACCATAATATACCTTCAACATCAAATTTTCTTGTCTAAGAGTACTTTCTTCCACCCTCAATTGGTGAACTTCTTGTGCAGCTTTCAACAATTTTTCTTCAGCTTCAACAGGCTAAAAAAAATAAATGATTAATGTGATGAAACTTGTATTATCAACACTTCTTCTAAAATTTGAATTCTGCAGAAATCGTTACATACTTTTGGTGATGATTTCAGTGCATCACCAGTAGCCTTGCTTTTGTCATCGATTGCAAGTGGTTCTGATTTGCCTCCTGAATTAACTGTCTTACTTTTGGTTGAAGATGTAGAGGTATTATTAGTAGGATTCTCAAAAACACATTTTAATTTTGTATCCATTAACTGATCAGGCTTAACATCTTTCCACTGAAATATTCAATAAATTGTCAATTCAAAAGTTAATCCAACATGAAAAATGATAATTTTAAATTATATTGGTGAAAATTGTTTTATGTGAATCAATTTTGATTAATATTCACTTTTCTACTTTAAATAATTAATAATTTTATAAAAGAGATTTTAAGTACAGCGATAATAGTATAAAGATATAAATACAAAGGTATCTTTTTTATAACTTGCTTAAGGTACTTTAACATGAATATGTTTGAATCAATTTTACATTGAATCATACACAAAAATGACAAATCTTTACAAAATTTAATCATTCAAGAGTGCAATGCTAAGTACGAATTTACTTTAAAATATATTAATTTACACCAATGGTGTAAGAAAGAATAGTAAAAAAATTACATTTTTTTCATTCGTATATTACTAAAGATGATTTCAGAGGTTTTGAAATAAAATATTTACTTACAATTTCTGTCAGATCTTCATCTGGATCATCATTTGGAGCAACAATCGTTTGAACCATGAATTTGTGTTTATTTTTTTCTTTTGGATCAAAGTCATACGGTTGAAGACACACTAAAACATATTTATGTGATAGAAAATTTTTATATTTCAGTACATTGTAAAGGCTGCAAACAATAAAGTTACAAACCTGCAATTTCACTTATTTCTTTTGGTTTGATAAGACCAGAGTTTGGTCTTACACAATATCTTTTTGGAGCTGTGGTCTTAATTTTAAAATATACTTTTTGATCACTAGTTGGATTAGTCAATTTCATATACGAAGCGATTGGGGCTCCTGTAAATGGACCTGCAGAAGATTACAAAAAATTTATGAAATAACTATTGAAAAATAAATATATAAAATGAAATTTTTACTATACATGTTTGAATTGACTGCGTTCAACCATACCAACATGAATAATTTTCAATGCATGATACATCGATAGTTTGAATGTTTTAGACAAAATTATAAATCAGTTAATTGCAAGATTACAAGTGAAAGTTAAATAAATGTTGAGCAATGTTAAAAAAACTACGCACAATTTCTTCAATCGTCAAAAGTTCAATTGGTTTCTAGTAAAAAGTTATAATTACTTGATCAAAACATATGTTGTTATTTTCATTTGAATGTACAAGTACCAAGTAAAATGGTATCAAAATTGATAATCTAAAAGCCAAAATATGAAATAGGAAGTTTTGAGTCACTTTTTCAGTTTTGAGTCATCATTGGTTTTGCAAGCATTAACCATTGAGAAGATAAATATAGCGTGCATGTAAGTTGGCATTGATTAGAGAAAGGGAATAATTTTGTATACATAGGAAGTGTGAGGAAGACTTGTATATCGGCTTTTGAATCACAAAAAGCCAGCATTCTGGCAAGATAGTTGGAGTGGTTGGCTAAATCAATACGTCAAAAAGACGTTCGTATCTTTTTAAGAGGCGCGCGGTGGCTCGTGTGTCTAAAAGACGAGAATACAAAGAGAGAAGAAAGGTAGGTATAGGTAGAAGAGCCAGGCTGAGCATCGATAGTCAGCACTCAACACGGACACACACAGAGCCTGTGTGCACTGCCAATGTACAATCGAGTCAACAACAATCCGTTTGGCGCTCGCACGCGAATCGCGCGACTCTCGGGAAAAATCAAGCAGCAGACCGCAGGCGGACGGGACGGGATTGGTTAGAGTTTCAGCGATAGGGCGTAATGAGATTGGCCCTCTTCGAGAGCAACGAGTTAATGCAACGAAGCCGAATTTCACGCCTGGATCGAAATGGAGACCTCGTGATCATGGCCATCGTCGGCTGGCTCTCTTTTTACGATGCTCCTCTTCTCACTCTTTCTAAAATCTGCGGTTTTCCGCGAAGGGAAATGCAGCAACACTTGGCGTAGGCGCAAGAGAGAGAGAAAGTAAAAAAGAAGCCCTCTAAAAAAACAGCGACGAAGCGCGAGAAAGATGCAAATGAAATTGTAGAGAGAGACACACAGTCGACTCGAGCGTGCGAGGCCGTCGAAGAAGACGTAAGCGCGACGACGACGACGACGACGACGAAAGGCACAAACGAAACGCACGATGCATCGAAAGACAAAGGAAGGAAGCGGGAAGGCTGGAGGAGAGAGAGAGTCGGATTGGCAGATTCGACGAATAATAATAGAAATAAAAGTATCGTCGATAATCACTTACCCCTAAATCGAAGCTCGTTCTCCGGCTCGATGATAAGCACTTGTTCTGGTTTGTTGGACATTGTGTCGGTGAGTGTGTAGTAGTTGTCGTTGGCGATCTATATAGGATTACGACTCTTCGACGACGACGACGACGACGACGACGATGTGTGTTTCTCTCTCTCTTCGTTTTGTATACCTCGGGCGGCGCAGCTGACGAGAGGAGACGTCGCGTTCAACTTCGGCACACTGCACACACAAGAGCAATAATAATATAATAAATTAACCGCAGCAGAGCGGATAATCTTTATACGTTGAGGGAGAGAAAGAGACAGACAGACAGTGAGACGAGAAGGCACGCACGACGCACACACACACACCAAAGTCACACAGGTGCGATCTCTGCAACACGAGAAAAAAAGAGAGGCCTTATTGTAACTATACTCGATACACACACGATAGGTTTTTGAGATATTATATGTAATTATTACGATGGTGTGTATATAATAAATAAGCAAGAGCAGCAGTAGCAGCAGTAGCAGCAGCAGCGAGACTCGCGCTTCCTCCTCCTTATACCTATAAATACTCTCTCTCTGTGGCAGGGTTAGTGCCTCGGAATATATAATAAAAGTAATAATAATAATCGCGACAATGGGGCAGACAAACTGATCTTCGCCGTCGTTAAATATATATATTCCGGGGCACACACACACACACAGACAGTCGACGACTGGATGACTCAAAAACTTTGAGATTACACGGCTCGCGCAAAATATCGCGAACAATGTATTCGTTATCACGAGGATGATCACCAAAAATTTTTTACTCCGACGACTCTTCGCGGGCAGGCAGTCGTGTTGGGCCCCGTAGCTGCTGCTGCTGCTGCTTACGATATAATGTTTTTATGTCTTGGCTCGTGTTACGTTACAAAAGCTGCACGTACTTAAGAATTGTCAACGCGGGCACGCAGCAAAACTATCGGTGCAGCTGTAATAAGTACTTGGGTTATTATCGAGTACTGGTCGTGTGGCAGTCTCTCAATGCCGCAGCGAGTAGCACAAGTCGGGCTGGCTGCTACTACTGCTGCTGCTGCTGCTGCTGCTGTAAGCTGCTGTTGTGTGTATATATGAATTCACGAAGCACACATACACGCACGCACGGATACAAATCCAACAGAGCTCGATCTATATAGATATTATATATTCGCGCGAGAGAGCTAGCGCTGACTGACTACACGATACGCTTATATATATGATTACACATGTATATGCTTACTCAAAGTGTACAGTCAGCATCAACGCACATACACACACATACACGAACACACGAACAAACACACACGCTGGATCGTAAGTAGTGTATATTGTATGGTTAACGCGCGCGCGTGTAGACGAGAAACAAAATTATATTTTATAACGAATCTCTTCGTGCAAACCGACCAATAAGATTACACTCGTCGCTCTGCGATCTGTGACGTCCGTCTGTCCGTGTACTGTGTATATATGTTTTTTTGCGTTACCTATATATATGTATATAAATACAACACTGTTGTACCCGTAGCGAGTAGTGACTCGTCGCGTCGCGCGCAGTACAGGGCATCAATCCACAATTGCAGCCTTAAAAACTTGGTGTGTGACTCTCGTCACCGAACGCGCGACAGCAGCCTCAAGCACGATACTCTAATCCACTGACATTTACGCACACACATATACGGTATATGTATACACGCGCGAGACGTTATATACACGACGGTATTCCGCTGTTTTTCCAATTTCTCTCGGTTGCCGCCGCGGCTGCTGCGCGCCCGTGAGCTGTGATAGCGACGAGACGACGACCGTTTATGTTTCGTGACTGGTCGAAACGCATGCGCCCTCAGTCGACTGCCGCGAATGTTACATTTTTGCGGACCCGCGAGAGTCAAGATCGCGCTAATTGAAATGAGCCGAGGCTTTGTGCAACGCGTTTTATCTTGGAAAAGTGGAATTTTTTTCATTGAAAATCATCTAACTTGATAAAGCTTTTCATTTCTCAGAAAAAAACTTTAAAAAAATTATATTCTTAATTTCGCTCATTTGCGAAGAGAAGATGAGGCGAATTCCGTTCCGTTTATTTACGACAACCAAAACAACCTTTGGAACGAGTTAAACAATGCGTGAGAAACTATCGATCAACGCGGCCAACAAGTATATAATGCGATTCGAGAGAGAGAGGCATTACGCAAAGAGGGCGGAAAGGTTTTTTTTTATACATAATCTCGCGCGAGGGTCGTCGATTCTTCTGCATGTGCAGCTGTGTCTTGAAACATAACTGCGACACGCGTTCGGTTTATGGAGAAAAAAAAATGACCGATTTCGTCGTATGGCATTGTGTATACACAGCAGCATTGAGCGCCGTTTTAACAATCGAACGCACATGCACAATCGCGCAAATAATCTTCTAATCGCGCTATAATATTCACGGTCGGATCATATATATAGGTATATATCGAGGAGGGCCGTTAAATTGTGTTCGTGCCGCATTAAATATTATTATAGTGTATATATGAGCGATCCATAATGTATGTGTTATACCTCTCGCAGGCCGGGGAGCGTCCACAAGCTCACCAAGTTTAATGGCACACACATATATATAGCCGTTTAAAAAAGGAAATGACCTCAAAAGTGATTACTCACGCGTCACGGTCGATACTTTTTTCCTGAGAATAGTAGTTGCGCAAAGTAAAAAAAAAAAACGTTCGAACTGCACCAAGAGCCGTGGCTCTTATTTAGCATAAATCTGCGTGGTACGAGACAAAAAATTCGTGCGTGCCAAATTATGTTGCATTACACAATGGTTTGCATAGTTGTCTTGAGATTATTTGAAATTAATTAATACGAGCTTTTATTCTCATAACTTTGCTTTATCCAAATGCACGAACTCAGTTCTCGCTCCGAGTTATCTTTACTTGTTCTTCGTCAATGATTCTCTTATGCGTATGATGGATTTTCAGTAAGACGATCAATAAGGCATTGAATAGTCGTCCAAGACACGCGAAGAGAGACAGACGAACCAAACGGTTTTACGAATTTTTTTTTGAATTGTCAGTCGAACGATTTGTAACGATTATTCTCGAGCTTCGAACGAATTCGGAGGACTCGATCGAACGTCTATCGCATTTTCATTTCAATGCGCGACAATTCGCTCGGAGCGCTATCTCCACTTAACGCTCGATTAATTAGGATCGATTTGAAATTCACTTACAGCTAATTATAACGCCTCTACGCGTTCGCCCGTCGGAGTAAACAATTCGAAAAAGGCTTCTCCGCGCCCCTGAGCGCGATGATTTAAGGTTTAGGTGTACGCGCGCACGCCAATTGCCATCGAGTATCATTATGAATATGCAATTCAAAGAATTCGTCGCGAGGCGAAAAGTCGTTGCGTCACTGCACCGCGACTCCCATTATTATCGATAACACGGCATAATTGTTGGAAAAAACGATCAAAATTGAATACCCGATAGATAGCACAGCTAATACGGGCAATCGAAACAACTTAAATTTAACTCACTCTCGTGTCGTTACTTGTTATTGTTGTGGCTGCAGCGTATATATTGGCCGTTGCAATCGATGGCTCCGAAACTCGCTAAATAGTGTGTCGAACGATGACTGCGAAACTATAAGCGCGCGCAGCAGCAGCAGCAGCAGACTTTGCCTATATAGAATACATCCACCTGTAGCCCACTGCTCCGGATTATAACATAGCTGCGAGTTTCTCTCTCTTTGCTTCTGCCCCTGCACGTGTGCTGCTCCGCGCTGTTTTGTACGCGAAATATCGTACGCATCCGCGTGTGCCGTATTACTACGAGTTGTGCGTTGTAAATTTTGATAAAACACTCTTTTTGTAACCTCGAGCAAAGTCGACGTTTTTACGAAGATGGAAGTGATACCGAGTCCCTTGATCGATCCCAATGCCAATGCCGAAGCTTATAGAAGTCTCGCGGGGCAGAATCAACAACCGGGCTTCGATAAACAATTGGAATTCTTGATTATTCACAAAGGTAAATAGCTGTGCAGGTTAGATCACGAAGGATACCGGCTTTTTCAAACTATTAAGTATTTAATTACTATAAAATGTATGAATTATATCCATCTTAATCTAGATGTATCAAAGTATCTTTGTACATTTTTGAATATTTTTTTATCCATTGAAAACGAGCGAAAAATAAACTGTATCCTCATCAATGAATTTGCAGATGAGAGCCTGGTTTTGGGAGCAAGTAATATGCAAGATCGATACTGGAGTGGTTCTCTATGGTATCATAAAAATGTTGACAATTTCAGTCATGAAAATTATTTGACTTCGATCAAAACTGAGAGCGGAGCTCGGGCAGCCTGTTATTTGGGAAAATTTGACACTTTTGCTATCGGCGAAGATAGCGGCCTTCTGCAAATATTCAATTTGAACTACAATCCTGTCACGAAGAAGACAGATTTACATTGCATAGGATATTCTTGTCAACACGATGACAGCATTACTTCAATTTCAAAATTTGAAGATGACAGTCGTATTGTCACTGCAGGAATGGATTCAAGGTAATGATTATAACTATTAAAAAATATCATAATTGAATTAGCTTAATTACATTGCGAATAATTTTCTAGTATAAAAGTTTGGGATACCAAGGACATGGTAGCTACTCATTCATACTCACCTGCACATTTGGATGCTGTTACTTGTGTTGCAACTCAACCAGGTAGCAATGAAGTATTTGTTTCTACTTCATTAGATCATGAAGTACTTTTATGGGACACCAGAAAAGCCAAACCTGCTACAGGTTAGTATAAATAATTTCTTATAAATATGGCATGTTTTATTGATTATTTAAAATTTTAAGGTTTGTGGGATGAATTTCATTGTGGATTTACTGCAGTATCATGGAAGCCTATAGATGGTAATATAATTGCTCTAGGAGCACAGGATGGTAGCATAACTGTGATTGATATTCGGCATTCAAAAGAAGCTCTTGAAAATTCAATTCAATTTTCTAGAGGAGTACATAAATTATCATTTAATCCTGATAAACCAGCTCATTTAGCTGGCTGTTGTGATTCTGAAAACATTAAAGTATTTGATGTGGATAATAGTTTAGAAATTTTATATGAAAATGAGAGTCATGATGATTTTGTTAGAGATCTTGCATGGCACAAAAATGATTTGCTCACATGTTCTTGGGACTTCACAGTTCTTAGACATACTCCATATACTGCAAATTCTCAAGCTGAAAGTTTTACACCTGAAAGCTCACCAACTAAAGTGGTTCAAGTTGATGAATAATATATGCTAGATTTCTCTATTCCAAATAAAAAGATTTTGTATAGTTTAAAAACATAATTTGATAACAGTTAAGTTAAACAGATAAATGCAACAAGACTTTTTTTTATTCATTACTGGACAGACTTTTTTAATTTTATTTTTTAAATTTAGTTAGAATAAATTTCTTTCTAATGTATAAATAATGACTGCTTTAAATATAAAGTAATTTTTTTGTTGATTTCATATCATTTGAATTGTTATGACATAATTGTTTAAGACTTTTTCAGATGTGATATAGAAGAAAAGCTATAATGTACAGTTACAAAGTAAAAATTGAGTACCAAATAAAAATAATTTTGCAACAAAATATTTTGTTTTATTTCTTTTTTTTTAAAAACAATTGAAAAACTTAATACTACTTGCAATACCTCATACAATTTATAATTAATCATCTTTAGGTATTTCCATTTCACGAGGCTTCATAAATGCAGCAACTAAAGAATTTAATTGAACAGTTTCATTGCAGCCACAAAGAACCCTTTTTTCTATTTCAGCCATTTTAACAATAAGATCAATAAGTATATTATCAGGAAAATCGACTGAAAATTGAAAAAAAAAATTTTAATATGCAAAAAATATTTTGAAAAGATTTTCTATGCACTTACTTTGATTCACCAAAACTTGCAGTTCTGTTAAAATATCTTGCAGAGCAAGCCCTTTTTTAGTTTTCAAATCTTGAATTTCTAAATTATTTAGTTAAGGATTAAACATAGAATATTTTATTATAAATTATATTGTGTTCAGTTAAAAGGATACTGCTATAAGCATATTCATAAGATTCATTCAAAAGCCAATTGAGTATATTTTTAATATCCACTGGTAAAGGATGACCAACACATGAATATACATTTTGTTCAGTTACATTGCCATATGCCAACCAAGTACTTTGCAAGGTGTTAATTACTCTTCTCATATCACCATCACTCAAGGTCATTAGTGCTTTTTTGCCATCTTCAGTGATTTTGACACTGTAAATAAAAAGTAAAAAAATTAAATATGTATCATCATTTGATTGAAATTGATGATAAACTTCATACTTTTCTTCTTTGACAACAAATTCTAAACGTGGCAAAATTTGTTCAGCACCTAGAGGTCCAAACCTAAACTTTGTACAACGGGACTGAAGTGCTGGTATAATTCTGCTCAAATAATTACATATAATACAAAATCTGACATTGTCTGTATACTTTTCAATAACTGGAAAAAAGTGAATGGTGGATTTACTGGAATTGATTCAAATGAAAAATCAAAGTATAATAAGACTTACTTCTCCTCAATGCATTTTGTGCATCATTTGTCATTGCGTCAGCTTCATCAAGAATGATAAGCTTGAAACCTGATCTGTAAATAGTAGTTGTGCTAGCAAAATTTAATATTGGTCCTCTAACAATACCAATACCTCTGTCATCAGAAGCATTTAGTTCCAGTACCTGAATATTTGATAAATTTATTTAAAAAATTTATTATTTATATATTACTATTAAAGTACCAATATCATTTTACCATTGATCTAAACTGTTGAGGGGTGTAAAGTTTTTTGGCACATGCCAATATAGTACTAGTTTTACCAGTTCCAGGAGGTCCATACAATAACAAATGTGGTAACTGATCTTCATCGATGAATTTATTGACTGCAATTAAAATTGTAGAAAAATTTAAGAAAAAGATAAACAAACTATTGAAAAATAAAAGATTAGCTTACTAGTTTTTATGATTTCTTCGTGCGAAATGAGATCGTTCAAAGTATTTGGACGATATTTTTCTACCCTGAAAGAAGATGAGAATAACTTTATCTGCAAACTGGGAATCGAGAAATTAAATCGCAACTCACCATGGTAAACTATGGTACACCACGGTTTTGGGATCATCGTCCAAATTCGGTGACATTTTGTTTATTTGTTATTTTCTAATAAATATGTGGCTAATGTCAATGTTTACAGCGCGGCGGCAGGTTATAAGGCAGAATTGAATCGACTACTGCTGCAGCCGGCGAGCGAAAAAAGGCGCGCCAAACTTAGTTCGAAATTTCGCTCTTTACGTTGGTAACGGTCAGACGTCCTTATTTTGTTTTATTTGGGAATTCTATTCGCGATCCGAGCGAAATAGTACGCATTATTCGTCTGTCAGTCCGCAGTGCTGCAATGTAAGCCGGTCTGAAAATGTGTTTCTCGCTTTTAAATCCGTAATCTCGTGTTCTTTTTAAAACACTTGACCCTGTGATTGTTATTATTGTGTGAAACATGTGATATTTTTTTCAATTGTCATTGTGACACTTGTCAATTGTTTTTATTCTTTATTTGTTCACGATGCGGTGTGCTTAATTGTCAAATTAGTGTAGGTTATTGTGGTAAACAGTTTTGTGTGTTTGTGAGTCGTTTTTATAATATAAAAATTTGTCAGTGATATTCTTTGTCAAAATGACTAGTATGGAAAGACTTGAGTCATATTTGGCTCAAGCCAAAAGCAAAAAAGTCACAGAATATAAGGTAGAAAAATTAAAAATGATTAATATTTTATAATAATTTATTTCATACACTTGATAGTCATATTAATAATTCATTGATTATTTTATTTTTTTAGAAAGCCATTAAATCTTTACTAGAGTTTTGGGAGAATGATCCAGAAGTGGTTATAGAAAAGATAACTGATACTTCTAAGGCTTCACAATGTTTTAGTAATTCTGGATGTTATTCTTGGAATGACATTTTCTTCATTGTTCATGAATTATTTTATAGTGTAAGAACTGATATATTCATTAAGACCTTATATACGTTTTAAAATGTTTTTATAAATTATTTTTAATTTGCAGGAAATTGATAGGATTTCTAAACTCAGTGGTAACTCTGGAAAATTGGATAAAGAAAGAGTAGTCAAACTTGTTCAAATTACATCCCAAAAAGCCAACTTCTGTTTAAAAGCAAAAACTGTAGTTTCATCAGTATTAGGAATATTAGAGCCACATAGAACTTGTGTGTTTTCTGAGTATTATGAAATGTATTTTAGTATACTAAAGAAATATGTGCTTCAAGAGCGTTCTCAGAGAATATTTATAGGCTCAAAACAATGGTCAGCATTATTAGAAGCATGTGAACAAATTTTGAATGAAATTATTCCAAATGTTGATTATGTCAAAGTTCTTGAAGCTCTTGAACTTATTATTCGATATGGTTGTTCACTGTCAAATTTAATGTTTCAAGCCCAATCATTTCTTTCTACAATTGGCAAGTGTACTTTAATTTTTTTTTTATCTTTTTAAAAAGAGAATATTATATTTAATAAAAACTTAATTGAATTTCAGAAAAATTATGGAATAACTATGAACAATATTCCATGAAATCAACTGATGTTTTATTCAAGTTAACTTTTACTGTATGCCATCAAATAGCCACAGATAGTAGGCATATTTTGTGCCAATTTTCTGAATGTCTTCCATTATCTTTAATTGATTTAAAAGGACCTGAAGAAAAATATAGATTATACCTTTTATTTGTTAAAATTCATCATCCAAATGGCGCTACTTTGGATGAGGAAATTAGTTTCTCTTATAATCCAGATAAGTGGAAGGCGGTGCTCAATCTTTTGTATCGAATGATATTAAATGATATTAAACCTTCAAATTTGTCAACTAATTTCATAGAGTTAGCAGCAGAAGGTATATTTATTTTATTTAGGTAAGTTTTTCATTTTTGATGAAAGATAATGTTTTTTTCCTTGTTCCAGTTTTTCACCAGAGAATATTTATAAAATTGCCTCCTGAACTCTCGCAAATTTCAAATACATTTGAAGAAAGTATTAGTATTTATATACAGCCTAAAAAAAAAAGGAAATTATCTGATGAGAACAATAAACTCATTGACCTTGTCAATGAACGTGATCCTGAAAGAGCTTGGCCTATGATTCAGATAGCCATTACTTTATACAAAAAGTATCCTAATTGTCTTCCATTAGAAGATTACATTGAATTTCTAGAAATAATAACCAAGTTGATGAATAAAGTCTGCAAAAATGTAGCTATAATGGAAGATTTGTGTAAACTTGCAATTGTGTTTGTTCAAAATGAAAATATCTATGCTCCAATTGACCTCAAAACTCATTGGGATAAATTATGGGATACTATATTAAGGTTTGCTTTTGAGTAATTGTTTAAATCTGAATAGTTATTTTTCAAAAATGTTTTTGTATTTTCAGTTATCTCAGTATATCCCATAGAGAAACAATAAAACAGGGTTGCATCTTAGTTCAATGGTTAATATCTAGAGAAAAAGTGTCTAATCCAAATATTTTATTGAAACTATATTTGACTTCATCAATTCAGTGGTCAAATGACAGCATTGAAACACTCAAGGTTTTTTGCGAGCACAATTTGATACCTAATACAATTGAAGGCTATGATATGAGTTCATCATCCATGACAAATGATTCTATAAAAATTCAATTACTACAATGGACATTAAATACTTTAACTAAACATTTAAATAATCCTCTAAAGATTCCAGACTTTAGTAAAGTATTAATAGGATTTACTCTCAAGTCTTGGTATAAATTGAAGAAACCATCACAAAATGTTGTTGAAAATCATTTCATCAGTTCAGAAAATAATCCTTATGATAACATCAAAGACATTGAAGTGAAACATATTGAGGAATGTTACTTGTCATTAAAACTGCAAGGAGATTTACTAATAAATAAACAGGAATGTTTAAATGCTGAGGCAAATGAAGATTTAGATTATTCATATGGAAAGAATATAATGAAATATTTGGTTAATAGTTTGTCAAGTAGTATTCAAACAGAAATAACTGATAAAGATTTGAGTTCAGTAATAACAAAAGCAGTAGTACTTGCTACTCTTATTTCAGATTTGAAAGCAATGAAAATGATTCCATGCAGTTTCGACGAATTCTATTTAGTTAATGATTTCAAAGAATATTTAACAAGAATCATGAATCATATTATTAACATCAATTGGTCGAGAAATATTCGCTGCACTTTAGAAATTACTAAATCCTTAATGACACTGTATCGTTCGCAATATGATGAATCGATTAATCAAATTATTCTAGATTTAACCGAGTTTTTGGCTTTGAAAAAAATCTATGACATTGCAAAAATTAGTATGGATGAATTTCAATCTGATGAAAAAATTCCTCAATGTAAAAGGAACGCAAACATCATATTAGCTTCATACTGCTGCATAAAAACAAACAATGAATTGTCCGAAGATCAGATGAAAATCGCTAATACACTTTTAATATTTGACAAGTACGACTTGTCCATTAAATCTCATGCTGTAGGCGTTATCACGCTTTTAGATATTTTAATGGACATTCCGCAATCTGTGATGAATGCCGACTTCATAAAACTATTGATGGAGTTTATTAATGAATTGTTCAATTACTGGTGCAAAGATGATAAAATAAATCGCTTCCTACTGAGTAAATTACCGAGATTACTAGAGAAATTTTTAAAATTTGGCGACGAAAATAATTCTCACAAAATTTTGGAGATTATCCAGTTGTATCACGATTACTTTGCAAAAGGTGCCTTTGGCCAAATGTCTCATCTGTCTCTGATTCAATGTTTCAATTGTATCGTTGAAAATAGAGCCCTTGCTTCTCTCGTCAATGACAATGTAGTTCTGAACCAAGATATATTTACTACATTTCTGAAGAGTCCGTACTATCTCGTTCGCTACGAATGCATAAAATATTTACAGTCGATATTTTCAACTAAAAACATTTCCAATTTATGGAAGCAAGATTATTTCATCAAGTTCAAAGTAGCCGTCTACGAGATCTTTCTCGTTGATCGTGAATTGACCGACCAAGCCAAATCGGAAGAACGAGAGCTCAGAAGCGTCAGCGCGATGCAGTTCTTGGCCACTGTCATCTGCAGTAAAAGCAGTTTCCAGAGTCAGGCACTTTTCATGATGTTGCAAATTATAGTTGAAAAAAGTATCGGAATCGTTACCGTGCAAAAATAATATTTTATTCAACTCGAATAATGTGAACTCTTTGTCCTTAGGTATCAGTAAGAAGAAAGTGACGAAAATTTTGGAATTGATCGAATCGACGAACAAATCACCAAAAAGCATCGTCGTCCAGAACATCAATTATCTAATTGACTCGTGGTGCCAAGATACGGATAAAAATTTCGAAGACTTTCCGCACTACTTTTTCTATTGCGACGACGAATACACGTTTTTGGAGCGCTACATAAAATTCATCTTTCCCGCGTTGATTCGTCAGCAGAGAATCGAGGATGCAAAGGAGATCGCCAAAAAGCTCAATTACTCTTTCGAACTAATCTTCAAACATTGCTGCGTCAATATCATTCCTTGGGCACTAATTGACTCGTCGAACGTTTTAGAGCGTATGCAAAATAACGAGAACGAATTCGAGTCGATTGGTAAATTCGACTCGCTGATCAAAGAAAACTTGCAAAATGTGATGATTCAAATGGGTAAGATTCAATCGGGCAATCTCATTTCATTTAAGTAGGGATTTTCCTAATTATTTTTAATTCGCAGTTCTACGACTGCACGATTTGGACCACTTTTACTTGACTTTTGAGACGACGGTGAATTTGCCAGCCTCCGATCCACCTCATTACGAGGTTGCAGCCATAAACTTGGGCTTCCGTAAACTGATGAAGGTCGTGGCCGGTGGCGCGCCGCAGTCCGTCTTTCTCATCGTGATCAAGCGCAAACCCAGCACGATTCAGAAAATATTGCTGTTTCTCACGCGCAACATCTATTTCGCCCACATATGCGAGTACAGAGCGAAGGCCGTCCACCAATACGTATACTTTTGCACCAGAATAATCGATCTTCTGAAAGAACCGTGCTCGGACCCCGTAGCCTCTTACTTCATCCGAGATATCACCTGTACTTTGCTCAATCTCGCTAAGGAGGATGACGAGATCGTGGCTAATATGTGTCTGACTTACTTGCACACATTTTTGAAAAGTTTGATGCCTTCGAGATCGAACGAGATCGGTAAAATTCTCAGCACTTGCGTTAAAATTTTGGGACCGATGATCGAGGAAAAAAATAAACAGCAGAAAGTAACGAAGGTGTTGGATTTACTACTGAAGGAAAGTCGACCCTTGCTTACCTTTGCCATAAGCAGTCTTGGCAGTATACCGAAATCCTTCAGAGACGAAAATAGTACGGAAAGAACATTCCAGGTATTGATTCATCTGAAAATCGAACAAAGTTTTACATGGATGATTAATTTTTACTTCCACTTTACAGAGCGTGTACGAAAATCTCGTTCACTTCCTCGATTCGAACGACGAAAAGTCTTGCAGCATAGATAATTTACAGACTTTGAAACAGCAGCTGAGCTCGAACCACGGAGATCTCGAAAAACTGTACGAGGAGCTCGAAATGACTCAAGGTTTCGCCGAGGACTGTGAATCCAGCGTACTGCATCGGTTGATTTATCGACTGATACGACTCACGGAATCGACCGACATCGATCTCGCTCTCGAGGCTGCCAAATGCCTGGGGATTCTGGGACCCGCCGATCTCGGCACGATGATTCTGCATCCGCAAGAGACTCAGCGTCGAGAATCCGACTCGAAAGCCGACCTACTGACTCTCAAAATTTGTGAATCGCTGTCGGAGCTCGTCGTGAGCTCCGACATCGATATGCGTGTTGCCAGTAGCGATGCTCTTCACGCAATTTTAGAATCGGCATGGGGTAATAGACTGGCCGATTTGACAGGAAAGGAGGCAAATACTTTGATAAACATCGCCGAGTACTTATATCCGTTCAAAGGCCCATCTAAGTCAAACGTGACCAAGTAATTCAAACGTTTCTAATATTTTTAAACTTATACGAAGCAAATCAAACAGACTTTACTCAAACTTCTTTTTCATTGATTCGTAGTTTACACGTCGACGTTGAAGAATTTGATACACTTTTTATTGATAAAAATGAATTGTGGTCTGGCCAGAAGGAGGATTCCTACAGTTCGTGGCTTGCACAAATAACTTCATCTGTAGCTTGTTGTTTAGCAGCTTTTTATAGCAAGAGTCTGATACCAGTTTTCAAGCTCAACGCACAATTTTGTGAACTATCGTTACCTCGTTTAATATGCATCATTATCGATACCGAACCAAATGCTGCCAAAAGAATATGCCATTGCATCAATTATTTTTTCCATCATCACTTCAACGAAGGCAGTTTGGACCCGCATTCTGCTTTGACTTTATCAAAGGTGATACAAATTTCATTTATTCTATCATTATTCAGGCTTAACGCGATTAATGTTGATCCAATGTTTTAGTCACGAGACGCCATCCGATGCATGTTAGAAGTGGTCAATCACTTGCGCATTCAGACGAATGAACGAGTTCCTTTGAATTTCAATTATTTGAACATAGCATTGGCAGCTCAATTCTGCTCCGCTTACTTTTCGTCGGTTCTCTACGCCGAGTTGTGGTGCCGATCGAATTTGGATAACGTGCGCTATTTCGACAGCATACCGATCATCGATCAAATTTACGAGCAAAACGCCAAACGAGGCAAAATCGTTCAGGACATTTTAAAAGAAGCGTACTCGAAAATTGGAGATACCGATTCCATTCACGGCTGTGGATCGTCTCATCTGCAGGATCGAAGATCGAGAATACCGTATTACAAAAATTTTCAAAAACTGGATAAACTCGTACTATCGTATGACGCCGAACTCAGTGTTAATCGCGACATGTCTGCATCGGGTAAGAATAAACTTCTTTTTTTTGTCTTTAATAAGTTCAATTTTTTATGAAAAATTATAAATGTAGGAATGATAAGTGCCTTGAAAGAATCGAGCCTACATTTCTTGGCTAAAAGTTTGATAACTTCAACGTCGTCAAAGGATGACACCATGGATGAATACTGCTACGATACCCTTTGGAGATTGGCTGATTGGGATCAAGTCACGAATCTGAGTTCGTCCAGCAAGTCCAAGAAAAAGGAAGATTTTCCTGCTTATCATTACGAAGCTCTCAAGCATTTGCACGAAAATAGCATTGGTCCTTTTAAACATTTTCTCAAGGAAGCTCGCTGTCGCATAATCGAGGATCTGAGGACGATCAGTCTCGAAAGTTGCAAAGCCGTTTATCCAAAACTCTGCCAGTTACAAATGCTGCGCGAAATCGAAGAATTCGGAACGTGCGACCCGGAGGATTATGAAAATCTGTTAGCCAAGTGGGACAAAAAGAAATTCGTCTTCAACAATCATTTTCAATACGTGGAACCCATACTTTCTCAACGAACTACGATATTTCAAATCCAAAACTCAAGGAAAGTTAACCCGATCATCAAAACTGCTTTTTTCAATAACTTACTTGATACAGCGCGACTGGCTCGACAGAGAGGTCATCTCAGTGCAGCTGCGCGAGCTTTAGGTACAAGATCGTTTTTAAAATTTTCGTTGCTCCACTATTGCGTTCAAAATCTAATTGTTGATTTTTTATTTGCAGAAACTTTATCTCAACAAGTTAATCTCAATGATGAAACGGAAAATCGACTTCTTTATCACGAGGCGAAGCTGGCTTGGATGCGAGAGGACGAAGATATGGCACGGTTTAATTTACGACGCCTCATCAAAAGTGATTCGGTAAAGCCAAATTTAATGGCGCGAGCCTTGCGCGTTTACGGCAATTGGATAGCCGAAAACAAATCGGAAAATCCTCAGGTTAATTTTATTGAATCTTTATTGATTCTAAATAAAATGATCGAAATTGACTCGTGTACTAATGAATTATTTCGAAATTTAGGCAATAATCGAGAAATATTATGACAAAGCGATCGATGTCTATCGGAAAATGGACGATTTGTCCGATACCGACTTGAGCGATGGATGTCGCGCGCAAGCTGCTCTGGCGCAGTTCTCTCACGAGCAGTACATCGTAATCACGGACTACATGATGTCACCTCAATTCGAAAGTCTCAAAGAGTGCATCAATTATTCCCGTAATGTACTATCGAAAGATCTGAAAAATCATCACGACCTAGACGTGCGTAAAGCTGTCTCGCTGAGTAACAGGCAAATTTCGAATGATTCGATCGAGGTTCAAAATTTACACAATGATCAGGCTATGTATCTTACGATTGCAATTAGGTATTCAATTATAAACTATTTTGAACGAAGCTGCAAAGAGTTTTCGGATTCAAGTGAATAATAAATATTTTCTTTACAGAAATTATCTCTCAACTTTACAAAACAGCGAAGAGCATGACTTTTTAATATTCAGACTGGTCTCGCTGTGGTTGGACAACATGTACGATAACGAAGTTAATGGGCTTCTGAACAAACATCTGAAACGCATTCCTTCCTACAAATTTATACCATTGATTCCCCAATTGGCACCTCACATGAGCAACGTTACCGATACGTTCACGAATAAAATCGAGAGTATACTCGAGCGCTGCGCCATGGAACATCCGCACCACACGTTGCCGATCCTGCTGGCGCTTAAAAATTTATACAACGATTCGAAATATTGCGGGAAAAAAGTCACCAAAGCAGAGCCTCGAGTGCTGGGTGCTCAACAACTCATCCAACGGTTGAGTTCCACCGAAATTGGTCCTATAATCGAAGAAATGGACAGATTATCTGATGCGCTCGTTAAGCTCGCATACTACGACATTGACGTAAAAGGAAGAGGTTCGTTAATACTTTCTTACGTTATCTATTGTTCGTGACAAAACCAAATATCAACATTTTTTCAATGAATTTTAGCACCGTCTGCAAAATGCATCATACCAAAAGCCATATCGATATGTAATATACAGAATTTCGAACATGCAGCCGTACCGACTGTAACTGTAGATATAAAGAAAAATGGAAAATATTCGAACGTTGTTTGTGTAGCAGCATATGATGAGTTTTATGGTAATGTCGGCGGAATCAATGCCCCCAAAAAAATCATTTGTCTGGGAACTGATGGAATTAAAAGACCTCAACTTGTGAAGGTAATAATAATATTTTCGTATTTGTTTTGAATTTTTTTCGAAAACGTGGTATTTTAAAACAAAAAATTTAAATAATTAAGTATTCATTTTCAAACTTACATTCTTTGCATTTCTTGTCGTTCTAGGGTAAAGATGATTTGAGGCAAGATGCAGTTATGCAGCAAGTCTTCACGGTAATGAATAGCTTGCTGAAAAGTAACAAGGAAGCCAAGCAGCGAAGATTGTACGTCAGGACTTACAAGGTAGTACCATTGACTCAGCGCTCGGGAGTACTTCAGTGGTGCGAAAATACCCTGCCTCTGAGTTCCATATTAGTTGGCGAGGAGGGTCTGCATCGCAAGTATTATCCCAACGATTGGTCACCAAACGATTGCAGAACGAGACTTCGGGTACGAAAACGCATTTAAATTATAGCCCCGGCAGGATATTAATTTTTTGAACTTGAATTATTTGTATTTTATTTTTCAGTCGGCCAAAACGAATCCAGCCAGGCTATACGACGTTTTTATCGAGTGTTGCAAACACCTGCATCCAGCCTTCCATCACTTTTTCACGGAAAGTTACTTATCGCCGGAAACTTGGTTTGAAAGACGTTTGGCATATACACGAAGGTAAATTTTTTCTTTTTTGTACATTTGTCACTAATAAGAACATTTTAAATGAATCATACATTTTATTTTAGCGTTGCGACGACTTCTATCATTGGATATATTTTGGGTTTGGGAGACCGACACGTTTCAAACATTCTAATTGATGAATCAACGGCAGAAGTTATTCACATTGACTTTGGTATGAATTTATTTACTATTAATAACTGAACATCTGCAATGGAAAATGAACTTTTATTTTTTTCTGATATCAAGGCATAGCTTTTGAGCAAGGCAAAGTATTGCCAACTCCTGAAACCGTTCCATTCAGACTCACAAGAGACATAGAAGCAGCAATGGGTGTCTCGGGCGTCGAGGGAACCATGAGACGTTGTTGCGAAGAAACCATGACTGTACTTCGAGAACATAGAGAAATTATTGTCACACTCTTGCGCGTGCTGCTATACGATCCGCTGTATTCGTGGGCCATAACACCGGCCAAAGCGGCTACTTATCAGAGCGAATACTCGTCGCGCTCCATCGACGGCAAAGAGAGCAATTCTCCAGGTAATTTTCAATCTCTATTTTTTTCAAATTTTCTTGACAGCGCGTAATAATTACGCTTTATATTGCAGGAAACGTTGAAACGAACAAATTGGCAGAAAGGGCTCTTTTGCGCGTACAGCAAAAGCTTCAAGGTATCGAAGAGGGCGTAGCATCGAGCATTCCAGGTCAAGTGGAGCGATTGATTCAGCAAGCTCGTGATCCTAAAAATTTGTCCAAACTTTTCGAAGGCTGGCAAGCTTACTTATAAAAATATATATTTCAGCTCACATTTCATGGGTACTGTCTGATTTTAATTTATAATTCAATTATTTTTTTACTGTTTTACTTGACATTGTGTTAAATGTTGTGAAGTTGTTTTATGAATCTTAAGAGAGAACTTGTGATAAGTGCGCCTTTACATTTTAAGTTAGAATGCTAAAATCGTTCAATTTTTAAATCGGAGAGCATTTAAATTTCCAGACCATAAATGTACAGTAGGTTTTATCAAAATTTCAGTTGGAAGTATATTATATAGCAGACTTCATAGAGCTGAGTTCATATTATTGTAAAGCACTACCATTCTGCTTTTTTCGTATATAATTTATGCTGAAATCATTACCAAATATATTACAATAAAGTTATTATATTTTTAAATACCCTGAAAAGTACTTTCATTAATAACCAATATAATCATTAAAGCATCAAAAATAGAGTTTTTTAAAAATTGTAAATTATTTAATGATAAAAGGAGTTTTAATTTTAATAATTATAATTTATAAATATAATTTTTTCATAACTACAGTGTATAATACAGAAAAATATTTGACCGTCGTAATTTAATGATAGTCAATAGAACATAAATTCTGTCAGCGACAATAATGGATAGCTTTTTTAAAAAGCGCAACAAATCTTTACCCTTTATCATGCGTTATCACACACTTGCAGCTAATAACGAAAACTGTTTGTTAAAAATAAATCTTCATAAAGTTGAATCAAAAAACTCCTTTCAACCAAGTCCAGATCTAAAAACGATAACAAAATGAAAAACATTGTGTACTTGCATGCTTTTATAAAATACTGCTTCACATGATTTTAAAAATCTCTGAACTTGGATGTGTTTAGGATCGTAGAAGAACATAACGAAATGGCTATCATATAGATTATAATTCTAAAGTTATTGCCAAAAGATGTAACGAATATTTTTCCAATTTATAGATGACAACAATATTATGACAAAGCTCAAAAATATTAAAACCACATTTATAGTATTACGTTAATTCAATAATCATAATTAATTCCGAATCCATCTACTTTTTCACTTAAAGAGATAGAACAACAAATACAAATAACACGAGAAAAATAATTTATCAAAATTTTAGTTACGAATAATAATTTTAGAATTCAGTTGTGTTGGAAAAAATAAATCGACCGTGTGCAAGACTTGACAATCAATTTTTCATTTTTGTCATTTAAAAAATTTTCAACAAATGCTTCGCAAAATATCAATTGCGATAAATGCAAACCTACGGCAATTGATTTTCTCTTTTTTTTATCGTAAATAAGGTAGTTTACCTGAATTTTTCTGACACTTGCACCCATTATTCACAAGAATCATCATATTTTTTAAAATTCAATGGCTCATTTACAATTGTGCGAATATGTAGAGTGCTATTTTTCATCATGTTTAAAAAATGTTTATTTACAATGTATATATTTGTCTTAGAGGTATCATAAGTAACATAATGCAATGAAATTGAAATACTTTAAAAAAAATAACGATTGGAATTTTGAGAAAAATATTTTTGAAATAACACAATAATGAGAAATTAGAAAGCTATTTAAATTTGTCAACTTGAACAAGTATCATTTCGAAAAGCTTGAAATAATGTATTGTTTTGTATTAGAAAGTTTTATTGATTTTGAATATTTTTATACTATGATGAAACGTAGCCTTTAAAAATACTATGGAATTAGAGACAGAAAAGCCAGAAAAGTTGTAAAAAAATAAATCTTCTGACTCTTTGCCTACCTTTTTTAACAGTATACGTCGCATGTACGAGTATCTTAATTGAATGTCTGTACACAAATAGTACATAACTATATGGCATTGAAAGATTTTTATTTTCTAGTGTAATTCCATTCACTCTTTCATCTTGTATGATAACTATGACAAAATAGTAACAACTTTTTCACTTTTTTCATTCAGTTCACACAATCACACAGTTTTTTTTATTGATAGTAAATAATAAGCAATGTATTAAAATGTATGAGTCAACGATAATTAATGCTCATTAACTCCTTAATAAAGCAATGCATGCTTTTTTTGGCTGTGACAAGTAAAATTAAATCCAATATATACTCATAATCATTTACTTTTTCAAAACAAATAATTCGCTAACTGGACACTGAGAATAATACTCAGCATGAATGGTCCTCAGCGGATCATTTTGAGTCAACATGGATTTTAAGGGCTTTTTCCGTTCTTCGTGGTCGCCTGCATAATGATGAAGATGACAATTGTGTCTGTAGACTTGTATCTCGATTTGACGCCACATATGGATAACTTCGACTTCTGTCGTCCACTCGCGGCGTTTCCTTTGAATTCCTGTCAAATGTGTAAAGATACAATCAATTTAAACTTTAATATCAAACGTTATTCGCTAAAATAATTTTATTATCATATAAAATGGTTTACCTGTATAAAAGGTAAGTTTTAAAATCTACTTCAGTTTGTGTAATTTGAGACTTCCAGAGGAGACTTTCTATACTATCATTGTGGACGGAGGATTTCGGAGCGGGGGGAAAAGTTGCAAATTCTAAGTCTTCCTCAGGAATTTTTGATTTACTAGATATCTAAATAATAAGTTTAAAAATATTTCATTATAGTGTCGTACATAATTGGCGTATATAGTTAGCGTATATAGAAATTATAAAATAAAATAATATTTACTCTTTCTATCAACTGTTGTGAAAATTCAGATTTTTCAACAATCAATTCTTCAGGCTCATCCATAGTTCCGTCTGATCGATTCCACCTCTTAATATACAACAAAACTTCAGATTCACTCAGCTTAGCTTCTTCCATTTTCTGAATGCATAGCTCATAATTTACAGAAATATAACACGTATCCTGATCATATACATCCCCTATACTGTCATTATTATATTCTAAGAAACGCCACTTTTCACATGGCCAAGTTATATCATAATTTTCTTTGAGTGCAGAAATCACTTCTTTTTTGAGTTCACTGAGTTCCATTTTTTTCTTCAATATGACATTGAATGATTTGAACAGAGGCTAAAACAATATTATTGAAAATATTAATAATTCCAAATTCTTTTTTTGCAAATTTATTTTGATTTGGAAAATTAAATATTTACCAAACGAGAATTCATTTCTAAAATATAGACGTTTACTTTAACTTCGTCAGGCAAAACAACTCTTCCTAAATTGATGTAATATTTTTTATCGTCTCGGAACCTCGTTGGAGAATACATTGGGATATCCTCCACATTGATATCACCAATACTGAAGTAACTTCTGGGAATTTTAAAATGAGGTTCTAATCTTTCTTTTAATTTATCTTCATTGAATGAATCATCCATTGTTATCTCCCAAACTAAACATATTAAAATACATTAAATTCTTGTTTTTCATCATATATAATTGTAGTGAAATTTATTTTGACTTACTGTCAGGCTGTGGCAATTTTACAATTTTGAAGTACTTGTGAACATTCACATCTTCTTGAGAATTTTCATTGATAAAATATGAATTTGGTCGAAGCACAGATGTAGGGGAAAATGCAGTATCAACATCAAGTTCAGAGTGGTCTGGTGCATCGCCTACCAATGTTCTGTCACTATCACTTAAACTACTATCCTCGCTATTACTGGTTTCTTGTGTTATCCAGTCATCTGCAGAAGACATTGAAGATGCAGAAGTTGTATTTTCGCTCACTTTCTTTGAATCCTGGATTGACTTCCACGTTTCACAAGTTGTGTTTTCGAGACCATTGACTTTATCTGATGTAGTAATTGATATTTTATTTACAAGATTTTCAGTTTCTTTCAAAGTTGAATTCGTTGAAAATTGCTTTCTTTCGTGCACCCATTCTACGTTTGATTTAATTTTCTTTTCAGTAGAAATTTTTTGAGATTTTTTGGAGGAAAAATCGGATGTTATTGAGCAGTAATCTAAAGAAGCAGATTCTTCTTCGTTATTTAAGACACAAATCATTTTATCTTCTTTTTCAACATGATTACTTTCTTTGATTTTCTCATTATGGGAAACATAATCATCATAAGAAGGAACTTTCGCTGCTGCTAGACTTTCTGTAAACAAAAAAGAATGTAATTAAATGATTTTTTTTACTTCTTAAAAGTATTTATTTATTTTTTTTAAATGTTATACTCACTTTCATTAATGTTACTTGAATCTATTTGAAATGTTATAAGGCTATCTAGACTTTCAACAAAATCGTGAAACATTTTACTCGTAATACTTTTCAGAGTATCAGGATCGTAGCCGATGCCAATGCTAACTTTCAGATTATCATCATATGGTCGTTTGAAAACATCATTATCGTTCAAAATGTAGTGTTCATATGGATCTTGGTACATTATGATGATGGAATTAAGATCAAAATCGAAATGTTTCCGAAGCTCCTCCTTATATTGTTTGCCTGTCATAGCATGAGGGCCCCCATGAGCTCTAATGTATTTAGGTCCATCGACATATTCTCTTTTTATGACATCAATTACAAACACCTGCATAATTTTAAATAATAATGAAAACAATAAACCGTGGATAAAATAAATGATATTTTATTTAAAAAATTAACTCAAAGTACCTTGGTGAATATAACAGGACTAATGTATCTATGGAAAACTTCATCTTTTTTCCTTATATCTAACAACAATTCTGGCAACCATCCACGCTCTGAGATATCACTTAATTCTTCTGATTCTTTATTGAAATAGTCCTGATTAACAAGATCACATTTAAGATTATAGGAAACAATTCGGCATTGGTCAAGTTCAACAAAATTTTCAAGATTAGCTCTGCGATATACACATTCAACTAGTTGACTTAATTTATAACTGTTATTAACTGATACTTTGACACTTTCAAGCACGCCAGTTTTTGGATGCTTATAATATACAATTTTTTCATACAGACTTTCGACACTTTCTTTATACAAGCCATTTACTTTATCCTCATTCATTTTTTCAACAAGAGTCTGAAAAAAAATGTACATTTATGAAATATTTTATTGAAATAAAATATAAATATTAAATAAAACAAATACCTTGATGTGGGGTGGAAAATCTTCAACTTGCATTGGTAGAACATTTCGCTCAGGATCTATTTGTCTGTACATGAGCATGTAAGCGTTTGTACTACATCGATACGTTGCACTAAAATTCGATCCTCTGTCACCCCCACCATAAGATTTAATAATTTCTTCTTGAGTAATCTACAAATCAAATATTTACATTATTCATATAAGAAATATCTTTTCCTAACAACCGATACACAGTAATCTTTACATACAGGTTTTACAGTTTGATCGTTGAAACAAAGCCACTTTTTGGTTCTGAAGTCTTTTATGTAGGCATAATAATGTCCACCACTAGCACTACCACTATGGATCATAATAGAAAATAGTTCATATATGTATGGTCCTTTTGCTGCTGCATATTTTTCTCGTAATATCTCATTACTGTGATTGTGCAAACTACAAGATGATGATGACAAACCATTACTCATATCTCCAATACCTGTCATAAGAAGATCTCATGAAATAACATTAAAATATAAATAACATATAAATGTGTGTGACAAACCTTCATCATCATCATCATGATTGTTTACGTGATTACTGTTGAATGTTGCATCATTTGAAGAACAGTCATCATCTGTGGCATTATCATCAGGAAAAGTATCAGTGATTTTGGAATTTATGCCGGCGTCTTCGGTATGACAAGGCGATTCTTGATTTGATGTTGGTTCGATAAATGAATTCAAATTCAAAATTTCAGGAAATTCCACTCTGTAAATAGATTATAATATGTAACTAATCAATTATTCTACTAGTTAATTAGAATTAAAATTTGTTAAATAAAATAAATTAACCTCCTTACCTATCATTCAGCTTAATCCTAAACAATGCATTGTGATCGAAGTCAAAACGCTTCAATTGAAGTGTAAGAATATATGGAAATTTGGTAAATTTGAGTCCTTTATGAGCGTTTGATTTTTTATTACATTTTTCACAAAAATATTGATTATTTCCCTCCAGAGTTTCATATTTTACAAATGCTTCTAAGGCTTGTTCCTAGAATAAATATTAAAATTTTATTTATTTACCCAAAATACCTGGTAAACAATAAGTGGTACTTACCACACTCTCGTAAGTTACACTAGAATCATATGACCTTACTGGCAATGGGATATCAAGGAAAGTATCATCTCTTGATTTTTCAGTGTTACATGTCAGGCACTTTACATAATCATGTATCTTACCTGCAAAATAAGGAATATTAAATAAACTTTGTTAATAAATATAACAATCGAACTCACCCTCATACAGTCTATTTATAAGATCAGCTTGAGGAGTATTTTTGAACCTTGTTTCTAAAGCTTCAAACATTACTCTACATAATTCTTGTATGTCGTGTTGGAGCCATGCGTCACATGATTTCCAACCAAAGCTTGTTGTTAAAGCAGTTGTTTCTACAGCAGGTTTGGATGACGTCTGAGAAAAACATTATTTTTAAAGGAAACCTGCTTTAAATTAATTTCAACATATATTTGAATATAGAAGAATACCTGCAAATTTAAAAAAAGTTTTTGCAATTGATAAGGGATACTTTTAATTTCAGAATCTACATCAGTTATCTTATATTCCCAATTATATAAAGCATTACGGAATTCAGGAGTCATATACAAAGCTTGAAGAAGACTGTTTAAGTAACATGTCATAGCCTGATTTACTAATCCAACATAATCTAGAAAAAAGACATCAATTTATTGTACACTGCAATATTATGTTAGTAAACCATTATTAATTACTTTCACTCACTTTGCTCAATGTCTTCTGAATTATCGCAAATGATTCTTTTTGGAGAATCATAGTTCTCTAGAGAGTCTCTGTGATTTGAATGATAATCCAAATTATCATTTAATTTTGTTTCATCATCTTCAGTCATTTTATGTCTATTGTTATTTTCAAAACTATTATCGGAAAATTCATTTGTAGGATATGTTGGGCTGTATTGCAAGTTATCCTCTGGATACGTTTCATCACGCAAATTGATATGAACTTCTAAAGGAATATATTTCAACAGTTTCAATGCCTTTAAATCCGGAATACGTTCTTCTAAGTCTTTTAAATTTTTAACAGCTAGTAGCTAAACAGAGAAAAGTTATCAATAAAAATTTTTTTTGAATATTATTCATACTCACATTTTCAGAAGCCAATTTGATAGTTATGCATTTTGAACCTTCTCCATACATAGTTTCAACTCGTTGAACAAAGAGTTCATTGTCATTCGAAAATTCTTGTGTTTCCTTGATTGATTTGTTTGCATAATGACGTACAAATATAACAATCATATTATATGGATCCTGAAAAAAATGCATATACTTTTGATTATACAGACTTATTAAAATAAAAAAAAAATAATAATAACAAATACTTACAGGTGCTTTGTCCACAGGAACAGCAAGTTTATCATCTCCAATGTCAACATGAACTTCTATTGGAACAAAACGTCTAACTGATTCTGACATAATTTCTTCAATTCTTTGTTTGAACTCTTCGAGAGTTAAAGTTTCATCCTGCAAATGTGAAATAATTTTATAAAATAGATGAAAAAAAGTCAATTATATTTGCAAGTGTTCAATACATACCCCCTCAGATGTCTTAACATGAAATACACATTCCTCTGAACGATAGTCGTCATCATGTTTATCCAAACGTTGCGTGTTTATTCTAATAGTTTCAAGTAGTGTCTCTGCATCTTGAGGAATTAACTCACATCGAACTGTCTGTTGATTATTTGAATTGGTGTAAATGAACAAAATTGTGAGAGAGACATCCTCCTTCTGAACCATTTTCTGTAAAATATGAATTTTTAATTGAATAATCAATCAAGCAACTTTGCAGAGAATATCTAGCAATTTATTATAAATGCTTTTTGATAAGAATAGTGAGCTTAGAAAGAAAGAGTAAAAAAATTTGTCTAAAAGACCATGATGCCATTCAGCATGGTACAATATTGCTTGAAAAGCTTATAGTCTGCTGCTATTTTTAGACCGTCTAAACCAAGACTTTGAAAGTGGCTCTTGGAACTATCATCACCCCTTCCTACTTTCATAATTTTACTCAGCTAGATAATATTATAAATTTTCAACAGAACAAAAACAAAAAGTACCGTTTAAACTAATTGAACTGAATAAACGCGATCGTTGCTCTGGAGTACTTGGAAAAATCCAGGGTACAACTTATACAAATAACTCCGAAATTATTGATTAAAAAGTCACATGAAAATCACAAAAAATTCGATCACGTCATGAAATTGTTTTTTGAAAGTTCGTAAACAATGTTACATTTGAAAAACACACGCAATTTCACGATTGAAGAGAGACGATAGTTTCATAATCACTTTCAGTCCGGTGTTATATATTTAGAGAGAGAGTTCGAAAGTTATTTTAAAATTTGTCAAATCGCGAGAGAAGCGACAAAAGGTTTTTTCACGCACAGAGAAGACAGAGAGGAGAGGAAAATTCGCAATCTATACACGGGGCGAGATAGACTGGAAAAATCCGTAGCAATGGAAGAAGCGCGCGAGGGCCGAACCTTACGGCGTTAGGACCGAGGGGCCATGGGTTAAAAAAAAAAACTTCTCGAAAACTTTGGTAGTTAGGTAAATACCCTTGGTCCAAATTCTCTAATGGGCGAAACGAGGCGTGTGTGTGCGTGTGCGTGCTCGCTCGGGTCCGTGCGAAACTCTCTGCGAGAGTCGCACTCCAGGTTAGAACGTGGATCACAATATATAATAGGCCAAAAGGAGAGAAAGAAAAGAAACGTTTGATTTCTCGATATATATATACATACACACAAGTGCGTCGACTGCGGGCCTATTATATACGTTGTATCGTATATATAGGTATAACAGAGAACCAACGAAATATACGCGCGCTATATAGTTATACAGCACATATATATATACAAACACGGACACAAGACAGCAGCAAGCCTCGCTCGCTATAAATGCGTTTAAAGCTAACTCAGCAGCAGCACTCGGGAGCAGCAGCAGCAAAAGCAGTAGAAGAGGAGCACACACGAAGCGTCAAGTTTCTGCTCGATGACGAATAAAATGTTTGATATATCTATATGCGTGTGTAAGCCCGTTTATCGGTCGTTGCACAGAGAGAGAGAGACAAGACAGAGGCATGCGACTGGCACGTCTCGTTGCAGACTCGAGAGAGAGAGAGAACCGCAAGAAGTATGCACATGCATGTACGTATGCATCGACGATACAGGAGGAGGCAGTTTTCCTGGCAGCAGCCAACTTACGCGCGATTTTGGGAGCTTATTATAAGTATCCTGCACGTATCGCGCGTGTGTGGGCCTCGACGATATATAATATAGAGTTTATCGCAGCGCGAGGCAGACGATACTAACTACCATATAGCACTACTATATACGACACATCCACGCGCGTGCGAGTTGTCTCTGCGCGGCGATAGAGAACGGCGAAACTCCCCCGAAAAGGTGTGTGAACATCCGCAGATAAGTGGCGCAAAAAAAAAAAAAAAAAAAGGCAACGAGACAGAGACAGAGAGAGAGAGAGAAAATGTACAGTAGCCACGCGCGGGCGCGAGGAAGAAAGCGACGATAAAGTATATTTGACTACTATAATTAACGATACGTACGCATCACGGAAAAATGCACAGCACTATAATGCGTGTCTCGCGAAATTCTCAAATATGCGCGAACTCGCAGTAGCAGTAGTAGTAGTATATAGATGCGAATGCACACTTATTATATATTATACGTGTGTATTGCGTACAGAGGAGCTGTGCTGAGACAGACGGCTCTGCGGCTACGGCGGCGGCGGCGGCACACGCGCTGCGACTAATATTGCACACACAAGTCCATGTATCGTTTTGTATATATACGCACACTTCTATCTACACTTTGTATATATTATTAAACTCGACACATACACACACATACTCACATTATTAAATATATACATACGTAGGTGATTTATAAATAATGTAATGTACGCATTAGATCGTAACTGTATATATCTATACGGCACACGCGCGAGAAAGGAGCTGCTGCGGTGCTGCGCGAAATTTACACAAACATCATCGCGCTGCAGGCCGGAACAATGCGAGGGAATGAGAGAGAGAAAGCGAGAGAGTGAAAAAAGAGGGAGGCACTGCTTATATGCTGCACTCCTCTCACTCACCGCGAGGCCTATAATGCTTAGTTAGCGGCAGCAGGCGGATAGTAGTAGCTCATGTGCGCACGATATATATTTTGACACTCTCAGCACTATATATACCTATATATATAACTGCAACTGCACTCGAGACAGTCGAATTTATGTATATATACCTTTGCGCTGCGAACGTATTACGATGTATAGTAATACGTTTGATGGGCCTTCGCGTATATAGTATATCGTATACGTATCGTCCTGCGTTGCTCTTTTTTTAATTGGAAAGTAATGATAACAACAACAACGTGACGTATATCTCTATGCTATACGGTCGTTATTGATAAGAGCATAGCCGCGCGAGTACCGATACGCAACTGATTGTGTATAAATGTGTACAAAAACGGGTCGACGACGACGACGACTACTGCTACGACTACTGCGGCAGTATATAGCAGTAGCAGAAAAGGAGGCGACCACGCACAAAATATACGTCACCGCACGCAAGCTCGGCCGACTGACGTGTTCCTCCGCGCGCGGCGTGGCCGCTTTTCGTCGAGATTTAAGCGCGTGCGACATACATATATATGCGTGTATATCGCCGTGCCTCCCCGCGACTCGGTTTAGCGTATTTGACGTAGAGCGTCGATTCGATTTTCGCTATATACGTGTATATAGATATAGGTATGTACGCCCCCGCAAGCTCGTTGTTGTAAACAGACGTTACTCATATACGCAAGCTTGCGGAGTCGGATTTTTTCCCTTGTATAGTAAAGATAGAGAGGAAATGAGACGTATATATTTATATGCCTTTAGTCGGCCCCTTTTTAATACATATATATAAAGCAGAGAGAGCACCGAGATTTATTTCTATCTTTGGATCGTCGAGCGATATTTAATACTCCATTGGAAAAATTCAATGTAAAAGATCGGGGAGAGCGGAGCTTACGACTTTTCGCTTAAATTTTCTTGACCGCGTGAACGAATATATGCGCCGTGTCGCAGAGATCGGCATTTTTTTTTTTTTTTTTTGAAATTCCGTCAGCGAACGTCCGATAAATATCTGCGATGAAATCGGATAAACATATGTACTCTTATCGATCGCGAGACAATCTACATCGCTATTTAGATCGTACGATTTATTTTCTAAGAAGTGAAAAAATTACCGTATCTTTTTCCGAACATAAACTTCAAACGGACGGTTACAGGATCGGGTGTAGGAGTCTCGAAAAAATCGTTACCATACCGATTTTTCGATATCCTTTGACGGACCGCGGCCGCGTCGGGTCAGTCTTATATTATTCATCGTCCTGCATCGAAGCCTAAACATTTCGCCTACCGATTTCGCGTTGTCTCATCTCGCGATCGTATAATAAGTAGTCGCATTAACGAGGCAAAGATCAGGGATCGCGCGCGTCACTCGTCGACCCGAAAAAAGCGAATGCGCGCGTAATATCGCGCGCGCACGCAAGAGGCTTCTTCGTCCGGTGCAAAGTTTAACGGGGCTTTTAAGACTGCGGCGACTGGCGAGAGAGTCGAAGCGCGCGCGAAAATTTATTAATACGATGTGTCCCCTAAAAATAGTTCGTGCCCGAGCAGCTTGGTTGGAACCGCCGGAGTCGCCGCCGCCGCCGCCACCGGGCCGATTATTTTGCTCTATATCTCAGGTTCATACATATATAGGTGTGTGTGCGTGTGCGTAGCTATATATATTGGGTATTTAAAATGGAGCCATACGACACTCGCAGCTCAGCTGCTAAAAAGAATGAATCGAAGAAGACTGTCACGTACTACGACTGGCGCCTCCATCGCGTCGTCGAGTCGGTGCGTCGAATTTCGGGCGTGTGATTTCGTACGTTTCCGAACGTATACGGTAAATTTGCACTTACCGCATGCTACTCGTAATTATAATAATAACGTTTTCGGTTGTACGCAATTTTATTTGAAAATCGATTGCTCAATAACATATCTTTTTTTTTGTCGAATCTACCGCTTTGACCTGTTTCGTTATCTATTCGAGTTATATTAGTCATAATTTTTATGAATTTACCGAAAAGTTTTCTAATATCGGTCAAATGCCGAGTTGAGTAGGAAAAAAACCAAACAAAAACACGCAGATTTCCTCGAAGTGTAAGTCAATTTTCCCAAATGAACAAGGTGCGCGAATTCACCGATGTCAATTGTCAATGCGTTTGTCCAATTTCCACCCGAAGACGACGTCGATTTCCCGCCGACGTTCGATATATCGTTTTTCGTTTGCCGAAATTTGGGTTAAAACACAGGGCACGGATTTAAATGCTCTCTCGAGTCGCGCACACGGCACTGCATGAGTAAACCGCCCGTATAAAATGCGTCAGAGCACGTTGTGAACCATCGTGAATCGAGATCAAACTTATATATACTTTCGCCGCAGTCGCGCGAGGTAGTAAACAGTGTCGCATGCAGTCACTGGCTGCTTATATAGAGTTTGCTTTCGAGATTATTTTCACGAACGAAAATAGAGGATTTTTTACTGGGAATCGCTGGAACAAAGACGGCAGGCATTTTCCACGTGGTCTCAAGGCGGCCTGCGTGAGCTCGACGAATCTCCTTGACGAGGACAAAGGACGTCGATTATTTTCAATCTCGGCTCGACTTTTTATTTACGCTCCCGATGACCCTGGCTGCCGAGTGCCGGCCATTCCGTGACACCGAGGATCGCACGCACGATGTTGCCCAACGAATACATGAACAGACGTATGTTGGGTAATTGTTACTCTCTTATCCCTTACCCTATTTTTGTGCCTCTCTTTGGTTGTAGCGTGTTTACAAACAAATAACCTCAATCGCCAATCGTGTCGCTGCCAAAGAGAACAGTGAAGCTTTCGGACGCGATAAATTTTCAAAAATTTTCACATTGTTTTCATTAGTGTTCAATTTTTTGCAGGGCACCCTGCATTCAGAGATGATGAGGACGATGATACGGATGATGAGTTTTATATTAGCCCAGAATACGACAGCTCAGATATGAGTGATGTTGAGGAAATTTCCAGCGAATCGTCTGATCACAGTACGACCTCTGAAGATTCGGATTCCGATGGTTCGATTTCACACAACGATGATGATGAGATTGCGGTAGTTGAGTTAAGAGAGGATAATAATGGAGGTAATAATGGAGCTGAACGAGAAGTCCGTGACAGTGTACCCAATCAAGCTCCAGTGGCGGTATTGGTCAACAATGTGCAGGAAAACCGTGACCACGACGATTATGTCAGCCCAGGTAACTGTTTTCTCATTGATTCATTTGCTGTGTTTTGAAAGAAATTTTTCATTACTTGAATTGCTTTTGTTTTCATTTTTTATAGCTGCAAAGAGAATAAGACTTGATCCCGAAGTATCCACACTGCCCCGACAAAGTGTTGCTCCAGAACCTGCTGACGATGATGTTGACAAGTGCTCGATTTGCTTGGACACATGGGACAACTGCGGAGAACACAGACTCTGTGCCATAAAATGCGGTCACTTATTCGGACATAGTTGCATTACTCAGTGGTTGAGCGCCAGACACAATAGATGTCCTGAATGTAATGCCAAAGCTGGACCACGAGATGTACGAGTTTTGTATGCAAAAAAACTTGTTGCTGTAGATACGTCTGAATTAAATAAAGTTAAAATAGCACTAAAAGATGAAGTAGATAAAAGGATGAGATGTGAGAAAGAAGTTGAGAGTTTGAGAGGTTTGAGAGATTATCATCAAAGAGAAATTAGTGAGTTAAATCTCAAGTACAGAGAGCTTGAAAAAAAGTATGCAGAGAGTCTTCAAAGGAGAAGTTTGCTATCCATTGATACTTCTGCACCATTAGAAATTGTTAAAACATTTGACATTAAGAGTGGACGAGTAACAATTTACAATTCCACACATAATTATCTTTATACATCTTCTTCAAAATCAGTTTACAGACTTTTTATGGATAACATGACGTTATCACCTCCATATCAATTACATAATTTGGAAATTAGAGATATGTGTTTCCAACCTCAAGGAGAGAACACATTACTTACAGTTGGATTAGATAAAAAATTGGTCCTTGTAGATGTTAGATCATCTAATATGATACGACAAATTCAAACAGACATTGCGTTATGGAGCTGCTGCTGGTCCAAAAATGAAAGAAATACATTTTGTGTCGCTGGAACAAGAGGAACCATTTATGAATATGACATAAGAAGTTTCCAAAAGGAAAATATTAATGCTGGATGTGATGATAAGTAAGTTTGAAATTATCCAATATTTTTCAAAACTTTACCCTAATGAAATGAAGTAAATTGTTTTGTTTCTCTACATTAAATATATTAATTTCTTTTTCATTCTCAATTTTAGATCACCTGTTGTATCTCTTCACTCTGTACCAAAGAATTGCCCAGCTCTCTTGACAGGAGGATATTTATCATGTCAATTGCAGTCATGCTCAGCTTATGCTGCTAAAGGAAGCAAGTATGCGCAAAATCTAATAAACTTAAAAGGACCCTTTACATCACTCAGATTTAATGAAAAAAATAATCATGTCATACTATCGTGCAGAGGAAATGATGAAGAGCCTGATATAAGGCATCTAGTGTGTTCTCTTGAAAGAAACGAGAACCAAGTAAACTTTAATGTTGTCCACACTTTCAAAACTGGAAGTAGTGCTAAATTTCTATCAAAGCCATGTTTTGTGAATTTAAAAGACGAAACATTAATAGCAGCTTTCAGTGAAAGTGAAAAAAAAATTAAAGCTTGGAATATGTCTACTGGAGAAGAACAATATTCATTTCCTTATAAAGGAAATGCACTTGATATGTGCTCAATAGAAAATAATGGCTTATTTCAAGCGGTGCTCTCTACAGACTCCCTTGAGCTTTATAAATCCAAACAATATTAAGTGCATAAGTTCTTGTATAATACTGTACAAAATAATAAATAATATTGATTTTTTTTATTTAACTTGAGTTATTAATGAAAATGTAAACATGTGCAATTAAAATTCACAGAGTTTACTTTTAAGAAAAAGTTCAAAAGTATCATACAATGAATACATAACTTTTGACTGGATTCAAAAATCTATTAATAAGAAAATTTAAAGTGAATTTTTACGTTTATGAAATTACAACTATATGTAAGCATGTGAAATATTTCAGAGTAGATTTACCTAATTTTTTATATTAAAATCAACCGTGATATTTTTGTACTTGATACAGTTATAAGTAATAAAAATAATGATTATTTTCTTAAACTTCTAATGTTTATTTATTAAGTAATTAATTTACATATCAAACTGAAATACATTGAATTACAAAATATATTTTCTTACAATTATGACTTGAATTAATTAAATTGATTAACATGATAGTAAATTAACTTTAAGCAATTTAAATGAAATTAAAAATTTGACATAGTCAAGCATTGAGGTTTTATAATTTTATGTAATTTCATGTATAAACAAATTTGCAAAGACACATTAATCAATTGTGATGCTTTCTAGCAATGATCGCGTAACTAATAATGAACTATGGAATGTAAACTGTACATTTCTACAAATTCCAAAAATTTTAAAAACGGAAGTACTTGATAACAAACACAAGAGCAACAAGAGCTCTTACCAAACACCAAAAATGTACAAATTCTAATATTTCAACTACATAACATAAAAACACATTCTTTTTGTACAAGTTGGTATATTTATATTTAAATTCTCTGTTGATGATAAAAAGCTTAATAGTTAATGGTTGTCTATTTATCTTTTTTAACATAATAGTAGCTAGTACAATAATTGATCTGTCAATACATTTTTTGCAACAATTGTTTGATCTAACCACATTGGTCAATGAAAAAAAATCAATTAATTAAAAAGACAGCATTTTATTATAAATATATATTTTTAAATTCATTTTTTTTTTTTTATGAATAAAACCAGTTAACCTGGTCAATGAATAAATATCACATTTACAAAAATTACAGTGTATGATATTATAAAAAAGGAAAAATCAATGACAAAAACTTGCCCTTCAAGCTCTCTTTGTGACCGATTCTATACGAATTTTAGTAACACCATCTGTTGTAACAAATTTAATTTTTTAAGAAATGCATCTACAGTGCAACACCAACCTGAAATTTACTTTGCACACCCACAACGTTTCGTTCATTATCTTCACTTTTTTCAGCTCCTATTTTACATAATAATTATAAACTATCAGCCATTGAACAATTAACTAGTCTTTCATGAAATTCTTTAAAATATTAATTGTCACTTGCACTTGAACTTGCTGGTTATTATGGCAGTTTATGAGTTTCTTTGATAGCCTGTTGCAAGAATAATTTAAGTAACAAAAATGATGATCTATAAGGTTCAAGCTGTTAGACTATAGTCATCACTAACTGAAGATTTGTTCTGTTGCTCTTTCCAGATCCCAATCGAATGTTGATAATGCAACTCTAGCCTGGTGCTCCTCAACTCCCATATCAGTCAGTCGTCTAATTTTTTCATCCAACTCGGGCATTTTACATGGTCCTAAATGGAATTGAATAATTACAATGTAATTAAAATGTATTTTGAATCATAATTAAGTTGATTTTGAAACTTGCCACCAGCATAAGCTGAAGTCCAATGTTTAGCAGTTTGTCTAAACATTTCTGGATGTTCCTTATATTGTTTTGCTACAACTGCGTCTTGTGGGTCATCTGGTTCAGCTGCTGATAATAGTGCTTGCAGGGACAATAATACAGTGCGTAAAGTCATTGCTGCAGCCCTACAAGATATGTATTTCAGAAAAACTGTCATTTACATTATTCAATAAGCATTTACACTTAAAACTAAGTTATACCATTGATCTTTTAATATATCCAAACAAATGGCTCCAGTCACTGATGATATATTTGGATGCCATATTTTTGTTGTAAATTTTACCTGTAATTTAACATAGAAAATGATTGCTATTTACCAAGAAAGTTATATTTTTTTAATATTATTTATAATTCCCCTTACTTTTGGAGGATTGAAAGGATATGTTTCTGGAATTTTTATTTCAAGAACGAAATTTCCACCTTCATATGGGGTATCTGGAGGTCCAGCAATTTCTCCCTTCAATTCTACACAGCTGTCATTTACAAGCTCCACTTTAATAGAACATTGTGCCACCTGAAAATATAACATCAAATGAGTAATCGATAATTAATGAACAAGTAAAACCATCTATGCTAAATATCATTATTTCAAAGCAGTAGCCAAAATAATATGAATCCGAAGAAAGATAATGGCTGACCCTTGACCCTAGTCACTTTAATCATGAATATATTTCTTTGAAACGATACAAGATTACGCATAAATCATATTGAACAGTTTTACTGTTTCCAATATAAGTTTTTGCTCTCTGCTGCTTCTGAGCAAAATGTGAATAAGTCTATAAAGTGCAAGCGAGAAAACAATACAGCCAAAGTACCCCAGGACAAGATGGACAGGAAAAAGAGTGAGTTTTACTTCGCATTGAATAATTTATAAATCTGTGCTTTTCTCAAAATCATGCGCTGACTTCTGAAGTTTGAATCAACGAAAACAACTCCCCAAAAACGAAGTTGTTGTCAAATTTGGAGCATCGTTCGCTTGATTTTGAAGTGGAAAAAAACAGAACGAAAAATTACGATAAAAAAGTAATTTTTCCGGGGGGTCAGGTATAAGCCTGTGACCACACGACAATCAAAACAACGTTAGACCAACGAAAATATTACGCAACGTCGGTGGCCTAGGGTTAACGACGAGATCATCATCATCATCGTCATCGTCATCGCCGTAAAACTCGACGAACGCCGGAGTGACACGCGCGACGCATCGCCCAGAGCACATCGTCGCGAAAGAATCAAGCCACGGGTAGCAATCGGCGTATTAAATTTCAACGTACCTCCTCGCTCTTTATAACCTCTTTGAACTCTCGTTTAATACGTTGGGCTGCAATGTTCGTCGCCATGGCCCTGAACGGTTGAATTTTGCAGACGATTCTTCCTCGTCTCTCTCGCGCTCGATGTCTCTTCTCGGTTGCCTCGACACCACCACACGATCTTCCTTGATTAATGCACTGCGGGACAGAGTAAATTCGAGAAATTGACGAAATCGTATGCAGTTGTATCGCGTATCGTATGAAGCGTGTGCGAAAGAGAGAGACCGCGGCGATTGTTCAAAATGTGTATATAATGCGTAAGGATTATTAGCGACGAGCAGCAATGAATTCTCCGTGTCTTCGTGTATGTATGTATTGGTATATACGTGTGTTGTACTCGTATGTCGGTCGTGGTGACTGTTGTGCTTCTCACCGCGCGCGGTGTGTCCGCACGAGACTCTCGAGAGTCAACTCTCTCAACAACGATAAGCCAGTAGTAACAGCGGTCCGATAGGGATGATCATCGCCTTACATTCGTTGTATTATCGTTGAGAATCGAAAGTACAGGTAAACTCGGCGGCCAATTTCGTAATGTAATCCCTCTTTTGATTTCGCGCGATGTATACTGTAGTGCGAATTGTCCAGCCTCTCTCTCTCTCTCTCTCTCTCTCGGCTCAGTTGTTCGCGGAGTTACAATCGGAGCGACCAGAAGCGCCAAAAGTCGAGGTGTTTTTTTGCGCTACCGCTGCTATAACTCGGCGAATTTTGTATATTTTACGCACTCCGATGTATACGGGCTAGTATACGAGCCGTCTGCGTGTCCGAGGCAGTGGAGTAGTATAAGTTGTCGCACGTTGTGCACATTTTTCGCTGTCTCTTTCTCTCTTCTAACGCCCGGAATATACAGTAGTAGTAGTAGTGAAATAGTATATTACGGTGAGTGCGAAAATACGTGTGTATGAGTTTTATACCATGAGTAAGTAAGTATGTGTGCGTGCAGGGCAGCGGGTGCGCCGCGCACAAGCAGGCAATTTTCGAATTCGATAGGTATGCGATGCGGAAATTCGAAAAGACGGTTTTAATCTCGTGCTGCTCCGAGACTATTTGCAGGTTCGTGTCTCGCCGCGGCCCGCGTAATTGACAGCGAAGAAGCAGATAGAGCAGCCGCGTGCAGATGTTACGCATTGGTTCATGCGTGGTGTTGTTTTTGTATGCATATAATGGGACTCGAGACACTATACCGTCTATACGTGTGTGAGAGTGCATAATCGGAGCTGCTGCGAACGAGCTTATGTACTTACCTCAGTGTCTATGTAACGCACTTTGCATCCGATAATTAGGCAATTCACACCTAGATATTGTACGAGTGTTAAGAGAAGCCAAACAAATATCGTCAATTGGATTTTTGTTGCAAACTGTATAATCCGCGCGTATACGCTGGCGCGATCGACGACGATTCGACTTCTAATTCCTCCTTACGAGCACGGAGATTCGCTCCTCACTGCATTTTCACGACGATTTTCATCGTGATTTTAATACCAACGACACGCTCGCGACACGACTCTCTTTGTGCCGTGCTCGTGCGCGCACGTGAATTTTTGGCATTAAAAAGCAGCAGCAGCTTCGCAGGCAACCGTTCGGTCGCGCCACTCCGATATACATATAATGCACGTTTTTCTTTTCGCGCGGCATTAATTAATGTATACCTATAACGCGACATCGAAACATTTCGGCTAATATTAGATGACTTTGGCATTGCGGCTGTGCGTGTGTATAGCTGCGTGTCTGTATCGACTCGTGAATCTCTCTGTGGGCTTTGTTCTTCGCGTCGTGTCGTTATAGACAACGATATAGCTACGCCGGCTGAGTTCATTAGACTTGAGCGACGTCGTCGACGACGAGTCGTACTCTTTTTTTTTGTGTACTAATTTCTCGATTAATTCGTGCAGACGATCGATCAAATTCATTGTTTCACCTCGTTGGCGAAGAATCGCTGCACATCCCGTTCGATCGCGAACTATATAATAAGCTTTTCTTCGGTTTTGGCAATCGTTGCCGCAACGGTTGTGCGACGATGTATTTTATTTTTTACACGCGCGGCAACTTGTTTATAGATTAAGAGGATGCCAATTAAGCTCTACCGGGTTCAATTAATACGTATTAATAATATTTTTCCATCGAACAACAACCACGTGCGAATAATTTTCATGACTATAATCATTCATTATAAGCCGTCCACGTGGTTTTGACAGAAACGATGTGGCGAGTAAAGATCGCTAATAAACTTGTTTTGAATCTATTTGCTACTCTAACTCGGTGATAGCTTCTTAAGCTTCTTTTTTTCTTTTTGAGCAATGAGATTTATTATGTATTCGTTGGAGTCGATCGATCAAATGCTCGAATCGGTCACAATCAATTAGAAAGTCCCAACTAATTTGTCCTAATGGATCATTTTTTTCCACGCCTTTCAAAATGTATAGAAAGTTCCCTCCCCCGAAAGAACGTCATTCTAATCCGATGGCGCGCTTGCTTTGCGTGCATCTCTCTCTCTCTCTCTCAAAGACGTCAAACGTGTTTTATTATTTTTTATCGAGTATTCAAACTTTCATCCTTTTCGAAGCTTATGCGGCTCTCCGCAATTTTCGTAATGACGACGACGATCACGTGACGATTCGCGCCGTATATTAGTTCCAAGACTACTCGCCGAGACACGTGAGAAACGATTGTTTTCGATAATGATACTCGCGGTTGAGTGTTAATTAAATGAGAATAAATAAATAAATATCGTGTCGATCGCTGAAAGCCTAATAAAATCCACGAGTACGCACGCGTTTATTTAACGTTTCGCAAAAAACAGTTGTCTTTCTCTCTTTTGGGTCTCCCCAGTGCGCACCTGTAATCCGAATAGGTTAGTGCGAACGCAGTATGCATTTTTTTTCTCGTTTTGTTTTTAATTACATAGGGTAGTCAGACCAATCAATGACCGAGTACCAGTGAATGACCATTTTGGAATATATCATATGAAAAACAATTAAAAATACATTTGTATGGACGTTATTCAATTCTTTAGTGAATGATGCATCTTGTTTTCTATGTTCGATCGTAATTTAACAAGGAAAAACGATAATTATTGCACATCGAAAAGTGGTCATTTACTGGTCGAAAGCGGTCAATCACTGGTATAAGTACCCTACGCTGTGTCTTTCATTACTGTCGATGTATAAAAGCGATCGTTGTTGTGAGTTATTTTTCGTGCAAAAAAAAATTACACTTGCACAATATAGACTCCGTCATTATCTGTTATCGGAGCTTCGCAGAAGATGTTTATTTTGATGATTTTTCGCGACTCCCCGCGAAGCTGTCGCGCGCAAAAAAACACACATACATACATAGATTAAATGTCTCGCCGATACAATGAGAGTCGATTTCGTTGGAAAAGATGAACTTTCGATGGATAAAATAAAAAGAGAAATTTTTTTGACCAACGGCTATTTTAACTATTATCGCGTGACAATTAGAAAAGAAGAAACTGGAAATTATCCCGAGATCTCGATGGAAGTATAAAAACGAAATCCAGAAATAAATATAAATGAAAAGCGAGATGATTCCTGCGTTACGCACACGCGATTGAACTCTTAGCATGATTATACAGTATCATGTCCGTGTATCTTTTGATCCGTCAATGGCCGTTAAACGTTGTTTTCTTTCTATCGCCTCTTGGGCCATCTCGCGCGAGACTCCTAGATAAGCAAAGAAAATATAAGATCGTCGAATAAATAAATATATCTTTTACAACTCCAAAAATCAAATTTTCATCATCCAATGATTTCAACTGTTTAAAAATGATTAACGTTAAACAATAAATAAATAAGAAATTCCGTAATTTTCGCCATTCTCAAACTCTCGAGTCATCGCTCAGAGAGATGCTTACGTGCAATCGGGCGCATACAGATACATTTTGTAACGCGCATCGAGAATTGCCCTGGCTCCAGGCGTCGTTTATAAATTCGCGAGAGAGATAGAGAGAGACAGCTGCGAACCCACGTGGCGGCATCGGCATACCCACTTATGCTAAAATCACGGCATTTCTTCGCAGTTTGTTTTGGAATTTAAAGGATGACTCTGTTTTTTTTTGCATTATTTCTCATCTATATTTATCCTATCCCATAATACATAAGCAGGCTAGAAATCGGTTTGGAACTTCGAAGACTTCGTAGGCAAAACTTCCATCTCTCGTATAGGGGCGACAACCGGCTCTCTCTTTCTCTCTCTGACTTTGTATCTCTTTTTCTTTCTTTTTTTATTACATATTATACGTCGAAGGCCGTACGTATAGTAGTCCCACATGGGTGTGTATTTTGAAAGTGAGAGGCGCGCGTATTTTTTTTTTAATCGATTTTTATCTATGCGGAGCTTGGAACTTGTATTATCGAAGCCTAACATGAAAAAAAAGACGCGCACGGAATGCGGAATAACAGCTACTAAAATAATTCGCGTTTGTCTCTCCGATGAATTACACAATATCTATTCGCAAATATACATGATGTATGTGTGTATGCACGTTTACGCGTGCGTCAAGTCGAGCGTCGTCGAAAAACACCCACACGAGCTACTCTAATTTTTTAATCAGCTTATGTCAATCGATCGTGTGTGCGTAGAAAAAGGCAGAGATCGTCTCGCACGCGACGCGCGAGAGATCGTAATCGCTCGATCGTGCGAGCGCAATAAAAATGTAATGAACTTGTGAGTGCACAAATTCGAGCGTAAAAGCGAAGAATGATATATTTTTTATCGTATTCGATTCAATGTACATAGATTGTAATATTATTTATATAGTATTATTCGCTGCACTCGACAAAGTTTTCTGCCGCAAGAATCTTCCTCTCTCTCTTATACGCCGCGCGCGTCTTCGTGGTGGTCGCGAAGAACTCGATCGCCGCGTCGCGTATCTTTTCTTTTATAAAATGTGTACGAAGCACAACCGATGCGATAACGAGCGCGCCGCGGCCGCGGTGCGGCGTCTCTCTCTCCTCCGATCGAGGCGGAGAAAAACCGCACGAACGAACGCGCACGAATGCAAATCACGTTAGCGATTTTATATTAAATTTTCTTAATTCACGCGTTGACCAGTCATTTCGGAAAATAAATGTTTTATAAATGAATATATTCCCTCGGCGTTGCATCGTTACATCGTCCATATAATATGTAATGCCCAACACGTGGATCGAGTCGTGCGCGACCGGATGATGGCACTGTTTTTTTTTTTTAACGAATTGCACAAAGTCGCATGGAGCGAGAGCATGGATGTAATTACACACTGTCTCGTCGTCGCTCGCATGCGTACATATAGCTCGACAAGCAAGTATATAGATACATTTTTTTTTCTTTTTTGTTACTTTTCCACACATCGAAAAGGAAAATTGCCGAGTAGTACGTACACATAATATCGAATATTCCGCGGAGTTATTTTGTTTATATAGTCGCGCAAACATATTTTTCAATGGCATCCGCGGCTAAGAGTGTGTATGTAGAGAGAAAAAAAGAGTCTCTCGAGCAGCTCGGAGCTCAGAGCTCAGCTCGCAGCACAATCTCCTCTTCGCGCTTTATCGTATACATATATAATAAACAACTGGAGCACACCGCACCGAGAGACGACGACAGAAAGAAGACTCATATATATTATTGCCTTTTGCTCTATACGCGCAGTGATCGCGTCGCGGAAAGATTTTATATACGCGTGTATGTATATGCGCGCCGCCTCATCTCTCTCTTCTCTTTTACTATATAGGCGGATTCGTCGTATATCTCCCTCTTAATATACTTATAAATTCAAATCCAAAGTATATATATAATTCCATCGTAGATTTTCGAGAGATGGAACGAGAGATTCAAATGGCGGAACGAGACATGCCGGTGGACGGTTCGTATATGATAATAATACCCACTATATATGAAAGCTTTGCACGCCTATGAAAAAAAAAAAACAAAATCTCGTGCTTTTCTTCGCCAACGTATAATTCTACATTTTCTCCTTCTTCTTGTTCCCACGAAAAATGAAAATTTCCCTTCTTTTCTCGATTCAAATGCGCGCATAGCTGCATATCGTTCGAATTTTATGTACGTTATAAGATCGGCACTTGGAAGATGCCCGAGATAAGGCCTGCGGGAGACCTGTATTAGATCGATCTCTAAGAGAAACTTCAAAAACTTCTCCATCTCGTTACGAATGCCGGACTTTTAAATCTATAATAATACACTCTCGATTAAGCCCGCATAACATCATCGATTCATCCGTGCGCGTATAAAGATTCGAGAGCGACGAATTATATAGACTCGTATATGAAGCTCGTGCGGCTATAACACGTGTACCGACGAAGAAGAGGAAGAAGAAAAAAAGTAGAAGCTGATATCGTTTTGTGTACACAGAAGGAGGTTTATAACATGTAACAGATAGACCCGTCGATGTATATATAATATAATCAGCACATATACGTATGTGTATATGTTGCATCTCGTGCACGAGAGACCGACTCTATTTTCGCGTTACATAATGCCGACTTTTCGCTGGAATACTTTGGAATTTGTTTTTATTTTTTTTTTTTTTTCCATCGAACGAATCGGCGATCTTTCAACGACTCTCCCACGTAGCTATAGCATTGCACGGAACACGTTCAGGGGTATGGACATTTTCGAACGATCGTGAAAACGTTCGACGATATTCCCTTCTTTATGCTCTTTACAGTAACGTAAACATTGCTAAAATGTAATATTACACCATGAAGAATGAATCATGCAGTGCAGAGTAATAATTGCGTTCGCGTGTGTCTTTCTTTTTTTTGTTTCATGGCATCCATGGCATCTCTCCGTACCGGTCACCTACAACTGCGTGGAATGGACACATTCATCGTTTTAAAACAACAAAAATCGGTTGCCAACCGATTTTTTCTCTCTCTGTCTCTCGCTGACGACGATGACCCCCGCGGAATGGACCGATACACCACCTCGACTGATAACGACTGATTCCGACTGGCAATCAAAATCGTCGTGCTTCTGCTGCTGTTGCTGCTGTGTGTCGTTGGCTCCGAATTGTATTTTGCTGCTGGCCTGCGCTTGCGTCAACTCCGATAATATAACGCGCGGAGCTGCTGCTGCGGCTGTTGGGGGCTTGTGCGCTCTTTTCTCTCGTCTATCTCCTTCGCTCTCGCACATACACACACACGGCTGCCAACGGCTGCTTTCTCTCTCTCTATGTTTCTTCCTCCTCTTCCACTATATGTGTATTCTATAATATAATAATCCTATAATAATACACAAAACTGCTACTTTGGGGCCGTCGCGCGCTTGTTGCGTCGGCGTATACATTACATACTATACTAATACTATGATGATGGCTGCTGCCGCTGCTGCCTACTGGCGACCGTACTGCCTACTGGCTTGGCTGCCTGCCTCTGTGCCCGCCTGCCGTGGTGCTGCTGCGTCGCGGTAAGCTGACACAGTGATGCCCGTCTCACAGCCAGTGCGTGCCCGGAGCTTGTTGAGAGCAAACCTGGAAAAGCCGAGGTCCAGCTCGAGTCTGCAAAGCAGGATGCCGAACATCAAAGTATTCAGCGGTACGTCCCATCCGGACCTTGCCCAGCGCATCGTCGACAGGCTGGGCATCGACATCGGCAAAGTCGTCACTAAGAAATTCAGTAACCTCGAAACTTGGTGAGTTTTTGGCTGCTGCTGCTGCTCTCTCTGTGCGTTGTGTTGCTGCTGCCGCTGATGACTCTGTTTTGCTGGATATACTGTGCGAAAAACCGGGCGAATTCAGTGTTGTTTTTTTCTTTCTCGTCGTCGTTCGTTACATGCATTTATTTAATCGGCGCTCAATGTCAACCGTTACGACTCGCACGGTGCACGACACGCGTCTTCATTTGGCTCCTTTGTACCACCATTCCCTCGGCGCATTTTTTTTTTTTTTTTTTGCATACACGCGCGGAGATTTTTTTTTCTCATCTCTTTTGTGCTATTCAGCTTTTTGGAGCTCGTTCGGAATCGGAGACGGCGGCGCACGGGCGATTTCGCGGATTCGACGAGAGAGAGAAAGAGATTTGTGCGCGAGAGAGAGAGAAGGAAGATGCGAGATGATAATGATGAGAGGAGAATGGCAGAAGCGCCTCTTGGTAACCACGTGTTCGAACGCGGTAACCAAGTTTGAATGGCCATCGATTCTGCGCCGTCGCTGCTCGGCGTTGTTACGCACTGGTCATTACTCCGCTTCCGAAACTATGTTTTTGTTATTGTACAATTTAAAGCCGTATACGGCGATTGCCCTTTAACGCTTTTCCGACGGCGACGATCGGATTTGCGCCAATGACATGCAATTGACACCGATGTTCCTCTTCTACGCGTCTCGATTTATGAAAGGCCGTAAAATCGTGTACCACGACGATTTCTTTGATCGCACGAAAAATCTCAATTTTCTCACCCGGTTTCTTTCTGAATCGGAATCTTCGATCGATTTACGCTGCTCTCCTCGCGAGTTGAATATATCGAAGATTGTTCATTTGTGCCGCGATGCAATTTTAAGTATTTTTTTCTCCCCTTATCTGCTCGAGTTCTGTCAGCTTAATTGACGAGGATTTTATCGTAAATCTGAGAGATCTGTGAGAGCCATTTCTTGCGTGAATCATTTTATTCTGAATGTAAAATTGTTTCTACAGCTTTGATGCCTTTCAAAGTTTCAGTTAAAAAAATAAAACTAATACAAGTCAATTAAACTATTTGGAAAAGTGTTGTTAATCACTGCATTTTATATTACAGCGTGGAGATCGGTGAGTCAGTTAGAGGAGAAGATGTCTACATCATCCAGAGCGGCAGTGGGGAAGTCAATGATAATCTTATGGAATTACTTATTATGATCAACGCTTGCAAGATTGCATCTGCCTCCCGGGTAACTGCTGTTATCCCTTGCTTCCCATATGCCAGGCAGGATAAGAAAGACAAGGTAAAACTTAGTGTTTTAAGGAATTTCTATTGTCATAGGATTATTCTACTTAAAAATGCATTTATGGAGATATTGAAAATTTCCATTTTGAATTATGAAATGAATATAAAGATAGTTTATCAATATTTAATCTTTCACAGTTCAAAGAGTTCGAAATTATTTTGAACAGTTTTAGGAAAAAATTATCAAAAGATTTGAATATTGTACCTCAAGACAAATGAGATTATTCAATGTCCTTGAATGTTTTCTTGAAAATATTTCAATGATATATAGTAATTAGTTTTTGAACAGAGACTTGATGTAGATGTGCCTTGTTATTTACTTAGTCTATTTTTTATGAAGTTCAGCTATCAGTAGTGTATCATTACTGTTGCTCAATGTATGTTATGAGTAGCTATATACTATTATATAATTAACATTACTATTTTCCATTCAATAACCACACTACAAGTTTCATTAAATTTTATAAAAGTTACATGTGCATACACATTGCTGACAATTTTATGTTTAAATTGGATCCTTAATTTTACTAAATTATTTTTTGTGACTTCTTCGAGTTTATATATTTATTGTTTGTTTACTGTCATTATAGCTGTATGATAATCTTAATTTTTTAGTCTCTAATGCTTGAGAAAATATTACTCTTTGTCTTAAATTTACAGCAAAGTTACAGTTTTTAACAAGGCGATGGTTTTAGGTTTAATACAGCCAGACACCTGTAAAAAATATATTTTTTATAACATAAAAGTATTTCTATTACTGATGAATTCACAGGGAGGTGAAGGTGGGGACAAGTCAGACTCGTCTAAGAGTCAAATTGTTACAATGAAGTCAAACGAATGGAAATTCAGGGTAACTTGTGGTGCTATTTTTTCTCAAATAGATTAAATTAAAATCAAATAGCTTGGTTCAATGGAAGTAATGCAATAATTCACAAATGGAATGTAGATATCACTACACTCACTATCAACATTCAAATCAAACAGCCTTATAATCACATATTCAAATAATAGCCATTCTTTTTTTTAGACAAAATAATTTTTTAATGCATATTTCAACGTTTTTATTCAAATGTTGACTGCATTTTATCAAATGATCATTAAATTTAAACATATTATTCAACAGTACATCATAGGAAACTGTAAATCCATACATAACTATGTTTAACCAATTCCTATAGCAGAAATACAACTTCATCATTGTATTTATTTGGTTCTTTCATACATATGAATTTATTCTGGGATTTTGTTTCATACGCTTATTTTTGAAATTTAAAAAAGCCCTAAACGTCTCACAAATATCGACGGAAATTTTTTTTTGGAATAATAAAATTCCTACACGATTTCTTTTAGAAATCACAAATTAGAAAATCAAAATTGAATTGATGATGACGATTTCTAGTCCTAGTTTCTAAATTTAAATTCAACTCAAAGTATCAGGAGAAACTGAATTATAGATTAAAAAAATATGATCTTTCAACAAAGTTCTGAATAATTTGGTGTTTGCAGGACTTTGTGACCATCCTATCAACAGTGAGTATAAAAAATTGAAATTCGCCAAAAAAGAACGATATTTTCGAGTGAAGCGTTTGATACTTACTGAAAAAATTAAAACTCGATGACCAACTTATAATGCAGTTTTCTGAAATAATATAATGTTTTTAGCATTTATTCCGTTACATTGAAAAGAATACTATTATTTTTTTATAGGACTAACAACTTAATCCCATTTAATCAGATTTGAATTAGAATAAAAAAAAATACATATTTTACACTGAAAAATGTATGCACCCTCGTGAATTGATGCGTAATATTCAATAAAGATGTACACTGATTACAGTTGACGATTGAGAGGGCAAAATATTTATATAATAGTGTAAATAACGTATTGGACATTTTTTCAGGCTTTTCCATGTGGGATATGTCACTTTTACTTGTGAATAGTTTGCTTGCTTTTTTAGATGCTTAACTATAAATAAAAAAAAAACAACGAGAGGAAAAGTTATAAAATTGGCTTCTCAACAGTCATAATTCTTAAATTGATAACATTTTTCCTCGATCGTTTTAAAGAAGCTTTACCGCTCTAATTATAAAAATTGCAATAACAGTGTGGAAGTAAAAAAAATTTAATATATTTTTTGGCATTTTTAGTGAATGTTTCGTTGAGCCATGATCGAAAAAAGCTTATTATGAAGAAAACCATTAAAAATGGCAAAATATATTTTTCGATATTTTTATTTTGTCACTGGCATTCTTTTAATGCTTGATAAAACTTATCTCACTCTCAAACTTGGGATATTGAGAAATTATTATTAACAAAGCAGTTTAATGATACAAATTCGTTAAATGCACGAAATGGGGTCAGATACGTAATTTGGAAAATACACTCATTGTACCCTTCACTTCAATTATTAGATTGATTGATTGAAAAATATTTTTCATTTCTGTTCAATCATTTTATTTCAAGTTAAATCATCAAAGATCGAAAGATTCAATCTTGAAATTAAAAATTACTTTCAGTTTCGAAATTTGTGAAGATTAGATGAAAAACTATTCAAAATAATAACACTTGAACTTGGAATGCATAAAGCATACTAGCAATGGCTTATGAGTGTATTTTAATTAGCTTGTTTGCCTTTATTATTCAATTAAAGTAGGAAAATTGATGCCTATGCAAAAATACTGTCTCGAGTTTTGTATCTGTGGGGTGCATTTGCAACAACATATCTTTTTCTTCTCTCTATGTCTTTTTGTTGTGATACGAGTTTGTTTTTTCGATCTATTTTTTTTTGTTGCATATAAAAAAGAAAAAATACTTCTCTACTGATTTGCGAGCAAAAAAAAAAAAAAAATTATTATATTCATATTTTGTCCCCTCCCGTTGTGAAATTTACGCAAGAGCTACTGAACAATTTTTGTGTAATTTTTTTATCAATTTTATTTTTTTTTAACAAAGCAAATTTTCAGCTCTTCCAGTGGGTAGTTGCAAATGGACTTCGATTGGCCTTCATGCACTTTCTATCGATATAACAATTATCTAATATATTAGGGTACTATACCTAATAAATTAGGTAAACACATTGAACCAAATAGACCATATACTATTTTTATAAAAAATAATTATTTAAAAAAAAAAACGAAGCGTGCAGGCTGATGACGAGCAAGAGACACACAAACACGCGGGGTTATCATAAGATAATGAGCCTGCGGAGGGCACATCACGAAGTCGTCTAATCGTCCATTTCGTTCGAATTTTTTTCCAGAGTCGAGCGCCAATCTCGGCCAAGTTGGTGGCCAACATGTTGTCGGTCGCGGGTGCTGACCATATCATCACCATGGACCTCCACGCTAGCCAGATCCAAGGATTCTTCGATATTCCCGTGGACAATCTGTTCGCCGAGCCAGCCGTGCTCAAGTGGATCAAAGAGAACATCGCCGAGTGGCGAAACAGCACCATCGTCTCGCCCGACGCCGGCGGTGCCAAGAGGTGTGTATATATTTTTGCAACCCATTTTTTTCTTCAACGAGTTGAAGAAAAAAATAACTCCATCTCGATTTATTGTATATTTTCTTGGAAAATTTGCCTCTCGTATATAATTACGTTGTGAAATTTAAGATGGTTATTGCAACATCAACGTATCTCGTTCGATCCACTTACATAATTATCTCTTACATGCCATGAAAAAAAAAGAGAACATTATAGAATATCGTTAGAAAAACCTCCGCGGCGATTTATATTTTTAGATATTCGGGAAATTTTTTCAATTCGAAAGAGACAGAGAGAGAGAAGCGATAATTCAATTGTCGATTGCATGTTATTATTTACTATTAATTCCGTCGCATCGAAGGTAATCGTTTAACATTCCGCGGGGATAAAAATAGTCGGTCTCTCTTTACCTTCGAGTAATGTTTCGTTCTATCGACGCGAGATCGGTTAAAACGTCCTTCTCTAAATTTATCGTGTAAGATAGGCATTTACATCGGGCGCGCATATCGATCAAACTTTCGCCTGAATTTTATAGTCATTGCCGTGAACTTTTGACGGAGAAAAGTGGAGAAGATCGATAATGTTGCTGTTGGTCGAGCACGAAACACTTTTGACGAAGTTGCACAATTATTTTCGATGTACTCACACAATCTCGTAGAAATTTGTTAAGCGTTTATCTAGAATCAGGTGAATTTCGCACGTTTTAAGATAACGAGAATCCAAATTTTTGCCACTCGAATTAAAATGCCGATAATTTATGCATATTGTTTTTTCTGAAAATCCTCATTAACGTGATTATTATTATTTTTTTCTCGCAGAGTTACGTCCATTGCCGACAGATTAAACGTGGATTTCGCTCTGATACACAAAGAAAGGAAGAAGGCCAACGAAGTCGCTAGTATGGTATTAGTCGGAGACGTAAAAGACCGAGTAGCCATCCTCGTTGATGATATGGCAGACACCTGTGGCACAATCGTACACGCCGCCGACAAACTCGTCGAGGCCGGGGCCGTCAAAGTCTACGCCATCCTGACGCACGGCATCTTCAGCGGGCCCGCCATCAGCCGGATAAACAACGCGTGCTTCGAGGCCGTCGTCGTCACGAACACCATTCCCCAGGACGAGCACATGAAGGAGTGCTCCAAAATTAAGGTATGCATTTTTTTTTCTTGCTTTTCACCGAGTTGTGCTTTGACAAACTTGGACGATGTTTTTTTTAATCGAATTTCGTTTTTCTTTTCTCCACAGTGCATCGACATTTCCATGATGTTCGCCGAGGCTGTCCGAAGGACTCACAACGGAGAATCCGTCTCCTACTTGTTCTCCAACGTCCCTTATTAAGACTGTAAATTCTAAAAAAAACAAAAAACATTTACGTATTTTCGATACGTACTGAAAGCTCGTTTCGATGGGACGTAAATAGTTACATCACTTGCAACTTATCGAATTAAAATGATCTGTAACTTGGATTGATCTCTGGAGGACCGGAAAACAAACTTTTTATGACTTTTTTGAAACAATTTAAGAATTCCAACTAGCCGATCCTCTAGAGATTAACTGCTTTTTTTCAAAAGATGACTGATGTGAAAACGACGGAACATTAGGTATACAAAAAAAGTCCTTTTTTTTCTTTTTTTTTTTCTTCTTGAAAACTTGACTAATCGTATGATGAAAAATGATAACTGTTAACTTGACAGATGTTTTCAAAAAATATATTTATAATTTTTTAAATAATTCCATTATAAGATGATGATGATGTATAGATTTTGTTTGTGTTTTTTTGAAAGATATTTCGAAACGATGAACTAATTTTTTCATGATTTCGCTCTGAAACATATAATAAATTAATTCAAATTGTAAGGAAAACTATGAAATTTTAAAAAAATAATACAAATATATACTATTTTGAATGATGGCCAGCACTTGTAGCAATCCAATTATTATTAGTGACTATTTAATTGACAATTTTAATAGTTGACATCGTTTTCGTTGAAAATATGAAATCGAATGTTATCTTCATTAAAAATGAATGGTATAGCTCTTTTTCTAGTTTTAGAACCATTGAAATGAATAGACTATTTTTTCGTAGTTTATTGAGCGTAGGCTTCACATGATAGCAAGGACAAAAAATGTATCATAGTGATTTCAATGAGGGATTTTTGCACGATCAACGGTTAACTACTTTATAGAACGTTGAAAATGGTCTTTTTTTTATAGTTATGAAATTACAGAACAATGAATTATTAATTGATAAATGCAAATGATGATAATTTCTGTATTTTTTGTATTATACATTAAAATTTTTGACTTAAGTTATTTTATCATTTATGCATTAACTGTGCGATGTATTTTATAAGCACGAGAAATAATTATTGTTAATGAGTTTCGCCAACACATAACTCAACACTATTTGTACATGAACTATCTACTTATTGTAAATCTCGTATTTGTGTAAGATTGCGACTATTTGTCTAAGGATAACTTTTTTTTATAATTTACTCAAAATTTAATTCACGAAAAAATTGATAGCTTTATTTTAGTACAATAAACACAAACACACCAGAAATATTATTTTTCATTAACTGTCTGCACAACTAATAATAACCTTTAGATATTAATTATGAAATAGTTAAACATATTGGAACCTGCTTTCCAAAATTGCTATTTTCTTGTTTACCGAGCAAATTAAACCAAATTGAGAATGGAAACTGCTACTCAATTTTATGAAATATTTCACTTCACACGCGAATTTTCCTTTTTTGACAATCAATTATTTTATTGAGCTTTCATCGATATCTCGGATTTCTGTTCCATTTAAATTAAAAAAAGTTTTAAATTTTGACTTATTTTCAACTTCAAAAAAATTGGTGAAGTAGTTTTACTAGTCCACTTCAAAAAAGTCAATTTCAAAAAGAAGCAACCGATCCAAGTTCCCGTCAACTCGTCCGCTCAGTCTGCAAAATATTTGCAATACGGTGGCTCCACCATCAACCGAGTCCGTCAACGATATAAACATGTTTTTTTATAAGAAATGCTGGCTTCTCAATAACCTATTCAGTGCGAATTTTATACAGCTGCTGTAATCGTCGCGAATCGCTCATTCAGCTCCTGGCCGCGAACGCTTCTTGTTCTTCGCATCAAAACAATCTTTATCATCTACGATCTGCTTCGTCATCGTGAAACATCGCAAAAGTTACATATCGAGACTTGTGGGGCTCGACTCGTAGAACCCGTTTGACGTGCATTTGTTTGTCTGCTTCGTACTGTAGTGTTCTAATTGTTTGCAACAATGATGCTACGAAAGGTAACTATTTTAGAGATATTTCTAATCTAATCGTAGTTACTTTTTTACAATAAGTAAGAACTGCTGGTAATTGAATTATATTTGCTTATCAGGCCATCAACCCAGCCTTCTTGAAAAATGTTGCAAAACCTTTCTCAACAACTTCGAGTGTCAAAAACGTCAGTTTTGGTGAGTTTTCCAATATGTTTTCATTTAAATTTGTCCAATTTTACGTTGCTTCTTCATGTTTTATAAGTTATTTTGGTTCAAATAGTTGCAAATAGAAAAAAAATACTCAAGAGTGTATATAGCTCGAGTGTGACATATTTATAACATTCATATCATAATCATAAGATAAAAGCTATGAGTGAAATTGATGATATTTTCGAATTGATGTTCAATCTAATTTTTTACCACGAAAATAATGATAATGAGTCAAGCTTATGAAATTTTGAAGTGCAAAATAAACGTACTTGATACCATGTAAAAGGATATTTATTATCAATAATCATCTAGTATATTATATCTAAAATAAATAACACTTTTTATTGTAATGTAGAACTCACTGATACTCAAAGGGAAATGCAGGAAACTGCTCGTAAGTTTACCAGAGATGAAATTATACCAGTCGCAGCAGAGTATGATCGCACAGGAAATTATCCATGGGACATTGTGAAAAAAGCTTGGAATTTGGGTCTTTTGAATCATCATATTCCAGCTAGTGTTGGTACGTAAATGTTATAATCAAATTTATTATGTATTTATTGACCCTAAAATTTAATAACTAAAATAATTTTAACTTCTTTTTCTTCTAGGTGGATTGGAATTCAATATTTTTGATGGCTGTATTGTCAGTGAAGAAATTGCCTATGGATGCACTGGAATTAAAACTGCTTTGGAAGCATCAGGATTAGGTGTATGTATTACATTTTTACTTATTTGAATAATTTTTTTATTTAAATAAATTATTTAATAAAATTAATTTAAACAGCAAACTCCTGTCATCATGGCTGGAAACCACGAACAACATAAGAAGTATTTAGGAAGATTGCTTGAAGAACCTTTGGTGGCTGTAAGTTAATTACATTCTATAGAAGGTATAATTATACGTTGTGAGTAAATAATGAATTATTTTTGGTATTTACAGGCATACTGCGTAACTGAGCCAGGAGCAGGATCTGATGTGAACGGAGTTAAAACAAAAGCCGTCAAAAAAGGCAAGGAATGGATTTTAAATGGAACAAAGATGTGGATTACCAATGGAGGTGTAGCAAATTGGTATTTTGTTTTGGCAAGAACTAACCCGGATCCTAAAGCCCCTGCAGGAAAAGCTTTTACTGCATTTATTGTTGAACGTGAATGGGAAGGTGTCCATCCTGGAAGAAAGGTAAGAAAGAAGATATTTAAATTAGAATATGTTATTATAGATTTTATAATTTATTAGGAAATCAATATGGGACAAAGGGCATCAGATACTCGTATGGTCACTTTTGAAGATGTTAGAGTACCAGAAGAAAATGTTTTGTTAGGAGAAGGTGCTGGATTCAAAGTTGCCATGGGTACATTTGATAAAACTAGACCAGCGGTAATATTTCATAACTTCTTTTACTGAATCTATAACTAAATTAGACCAGAGTAACTAAATAGTTGTACTATTTCAGGTAGCTTGTGGTGCTGTTGGATTAGCACAAAGGGCTTTGGATGAAGCTACTAAGTATTCTTTAGAACGCAAAGCTTTCAATAAACCTATTGCTGAACATCAAGCAGTAGCTTTCATGCTTGCTGATATGGCAATATCAGTTGAAACTGCAAGACTTGCATGGATGAAATCTGCATGGGCTTTGGATAATAAAAAACCAAATGGTTCCATGCTTGCCAGTGTTGCTAAGTGCTATGCTGCAGACATAGCGAACAAATGTGCAACCGATGCTGTTCAGGTAAAAATTAAATTCAGTTGAAAATAATCCATCATAGAAAGTATATTTTATTAAATTTTATCAAATTGTAGATCTTTGGTGGAGCTGGATTTAATACAGACTATCCAGTTGAAAAATTAATGAGAGATGCTAAAATTTATCAAATTTATGAAGGAACAGCTCAAATTCAAAGGCTGATTATATCTCGTCAACTTTTTGCCAATGCACTGAAAGGTGGAAACTAAGTGCTTAATTGGTAAAACTGATCGATCTAGATCTTGTATAATAGTGTTTTTTTTTTCAAGAACTTTATTTCTACAACTATTATTTACTGGGTTAAAAATGAAACTTTTTATACTAAAGTATAGCATAATTATATGTTTGAGAGATCAAATTTATAAAAAAATGCACACGATTTTTACGAGATTACTATTGTATTCGCGTAAATTTTGATTAAATTTCAATCAAATTATCTATACCATTCGAAATTAATGGTACGAAATGCCAAGATGTATATAAGATTAAAATTGAAGATATTAATTATTTTTATATCCTTTACATAAACGAATGTAAACCTTTTATGATCAATCATGTAATATGTTAATATTTTATCGCTTTTCTTAGAAAAAAATATAATTTTACGCATGTTTTATACAATAAAATATTTTTACACTTAAATTAGATTTGAGTTGAACATTTTTTACATGTATAAAATTCAGATCACAGTAGGCTTAAAAATCTGTGAACAAAATGTATTGTTATTAACATTTTTATAAATAAAATTATTCAAAGGTAGTTTTGAAAACGTTATAAATTGACTGAATCTTTATTAAAGTTATTTATTCAAAAATTACTCGAAAAATTTGAATGTGGGTATTTCATAGTCTAGTATTTTTTAGCTATCAAGTCCATTATAATATCTGTTATAATATTATTTAAAAATCATCGATCTCCTTGTCTATAATCGAACATGGAATTCAAAAGCTCATTTTACTCGTGAATGATGTTTCTGTCGCGACTGGAGGATAGAGAAATACGATTTATTTGCAAAGACGGCATTCCTTACTAAAAAAGTTTTTAGAAGAAAGTTCTCAAACAAAACGGTTGAAAATTTCTATTATAGTTTATTTAATCGGCAGTGGTTGTGCCAAACTTTAAGTGTATAAAAGAGATTAATTCAATAAAGTTATCATTCCACATTAGATAATATTCGCTTCCACAGTTTGGAAAAGAACAATTCCAAATTCGAACACAATTCAAATTCGACTGCATTTGTTTTCTAACGGCTACTAGTGCCGAGCGTCGAATCGAGTCGTTCAGACACAGTCCATTCAAGAGTCCGAGTGCAAATAAATCGATAGAGAATACAATAGAAAGTAAAATCGAGGGATTTCGGAAGATGAATACGCGAAGTAAAGTGGCAAAAGATAAGAGAACTAATTCCGTTTGCGTTACCCATTGTAGTGAGTAAATTCAAAACGTTCGTAAGCCAACAATCATCTCTATTCTCTATAGGCGTGATAAGCGGCAGCGAGTAGGCACCGGATAGAGCCATCAAAATTCAAGAACGTTATCCCAAGTACTTAACAAGTATTTTGATTCCATTGTGAATCTCGCAGCAGAGAAAGATGAATCATCAGTCATGTACTAAACGTACCGATAAGAAACAAAATAGAGAACGATCATCGGAGGCTCGAGCAATTAGAAGAAAAAACAAAATTACAGACACAATGGTAACCAAAGCTCATTCATAGATATTTAGTCGTTATCGGAGAAAGTATAATTACATAGACAATTAAATCTTGAGTAATACTCTATAGGGAGGCACGCGATGATAATATCCTTCACGCTCGCTGCGTTTCGCGCATCGTCGAAAAGATTGGCAAACTTGACTCCGACTCTGCTCGTCGCCTATAGCTGCAGCTCGACCGGTCAGGGACAAAGAAGGTCGGCCGCGGCTACGAGATCCTCGGCTCCGTGTCACTGTGTCAGCGCGAGCCGCAGCTCCATAACATAACGGTCTTTTACGTGCATGACATATGTGCAGCACAAGATCATGTGCGACTCGGTGTACTTCGAGCAACAAGGGCAAGGGCTCGTGACCACCAGCAGACATTCCGTTAAAGCCGGGGGTCTCCGTAACGTATATTACCTAACCCAAACGATGCCGGTTCAAAGGTTGCAACTTGCCTGAACAAGTGCGTCGGCGGCTGTGTACTACGACACATTATAGGGCTTTCGCGAGAGACAAAGACGAAGATGCGAGTCTTCGTCTCCGCAAAATCGTACGCGTGTGTGCGAGAATCAAGCCCGGCAACGTGTGTATAACACGTACAAACACATACAATGCGCTATATAAATGCAACAGGCGAGCACAGGCTGCGCTACACATAGATGCATAACATATATAGATGTATATTTTAGCCTATAGAGCGGCATCGTCGCTTTATATATATATAACGCCGTATGCGTCCGCTAGATTTCAAGGACAAACGCGCAGCGAGACGACGAACGAATTCGCGCACCGACGACGACCAGACGCTTCGATCGTAAGCGCACATAATAATATAACATAACAAGTCGATCGATCTCTTTCTTTCTCTCTCTCTCACTCGCGGTATTACGTGCGCTTGTGTACTTATTAAGAATCGCAAGTGTAATATCCGAGGAAGAAAAAAAACGCCCGTGCGGGGACTTGATAGTGTGCGTGCATATATATCCGCGATCGATGCGCGATTCCGCAGCGTTTTGTTTTTCGCACTCCGATTGTTGCCGTTTTGTTGTTATTCTATACTCGGCATTGGCTCATTAGTTCCTTTTTTTTCCATAACGTCTGCCATCTCTAAATTCATATAATTTTATTCAAGCTGTGTGCAACGGGGCAGCTTGTTATTCGCAAATTGTCAGCGTTATATATATATATACGACGACAACAACAAGAGCAGTACAACACCGTCGTCGTCGTCACCGCCTGCGCTGCCGCCGCTGCTACCGACGAAAGAATGAGAGAGACGAAAAAAAAATAAAACGACGACTCGCGACGAGTGTGTCTGCAGCCAATGCGTTGTGGTGCGGTTTTTCTGCGAGTGCGCGAATTTCTGCTGTTGTGCTGCCATCGCTCGCGCGGCCGTATCTCTCTCTCTCTCTCTCTCTTTCTCTCGCGCTCATGTGTATATGTATGTACTGTACTGCTGCACACGACGACGACACAACGGCATGCAAGTGAAAAAGAGAGTGGCCTACAGACCTATATTTTGCCTTGCTGCGCGATACTATACCAGTGAAGTGCACCGTGCTGTTGTGTGGTGGTAGTGCTGCCTGCCGCTGCATCGTGTACTTTCGCCGCCGGGTGAGAGACGTGCATATATATGTATATAATACAGTGTGCATTTTATATATACACGTATCGCGAGAAGGTTAAAGTGCCGGTTGTTGCGCCAATATAATACTCTTGGTCGTCGTCGTTTCGCTCGCGGCTCTCGTTGTGTGTATATGTAACTCTCGCTCTCTGTCTGTGCAGTGAAAGTGAAAGTTCATTTCGAGCGCGCGGTAATGATGCAAAATGCCCTTACTTAATGCCTACTACGCCTGTACCACCTCGCCCGCTGCTGCAGCGGCCACAGAACTTCCACGTCTGGGGACGCAATGATGTTTCTTCTTCTTCTTCTTCGTTCTTTTTTTTTTTTATGAATTTTTTATGACGACTCGACAACGCTACTACGTACGGATGGATGCAATTAACGTTGAAAGCTGCAGAATTTCGTCACGAAAATCGTTTCGTTCGTAAAGAGATCTTTGTTTCGAACACGGCTGAACGGATAAAAACAGAGGGGAAAAAAAAAGAAATATGTTTCGCGCGTTCGATCTTCGAGTTTTCGTGCTCGTGTTTTAGTTTTATGACTAATGCATAGTCTCGAGTGATCCGACACAGTGCGTACGAATATATATATACGAAATTTCGAACACAAAGACTGTGGCGTGTGTAACGTTTTCTCGATGTTTTGAGGATTCGCAATCTTATCGCGCGGACACGAGCTCTCCGAACTATACATACAATATTGTATATATTCGCGAAAATGGCAAGCCTATCGAGCTGCAGCAGTTCGATCGAGGCAGAAATTTCGAAGCCAAAGTGCCGCCTGCAGCTGCAGGACTCGGAAATCAGCGAGGACGGAACGGCAGTGGCAGCGACCAGCAGCACGATCTGCGAAATGGGTCCGGACAGCAGCGACAGCTCGAAACTGTCATCGTCGGAAAAGCATGACTCATCGGACGTCAGCCTGGTGCTCGAAGGGATAGCTGCACCGGCCAACAGTACCACTTCGTTTTCAGGTAACAACGATAGCCTCGATAATGTAAAAAAATATTTAATATCAAGCATTATTTAAATGAGAGAATACGTAGATTTTCATACAAATTATGATAAAAAATTTTATCCGACCACCACTGACATCGTTCCAGCCCGCGTCTGTGTCAATCGACGCTCGCCTCAGCTGCTTTTGTTGTCTTATTACATTACATTTATTACATTATAATGTCAACGAGTGGATAGCGAGTGAGAGAGAGTTAAAATATAGGTTATTTGTTGCATGGCTCTACAGTCTGTGTTGCACATACACAAATGCAGGGGTAATACTTATTCCCCTTCTACGGGCACAGTCACGTGGTACAAACTTTGAGGAGCATATATACAAACAGTCGTCAGACGTCACTCGTCACTTCGTTATGTAAATTGTAGCGTTCGAAAATCGAGTCGGCATATATATAAAAAAAAATGTTTTTCGCACAATCTTTTAGTTGATTACAAATCAAAGCGGATAACGATGAACGCTGCTTTTTCGACGCTTACACCCTCCGTTTGCTATATTTTGATTTCTTTGCCTGAAAAAAAAATAAATGCTTACGATTGTTGATAATAGTAGAACTTTGGCACAGGCCACCTTTTTTGAATGAATAAAAAAGTAAATTATTTTAAAATCTGAAATATCGATATGAATTGCGAAAATGAAAAAGTGACCACGCGAAAATAAAAATGAAAGCGCATTTAAAATGGTCAGATTTCTTCAATTCAATTTTCCAAAATCCATTTGCTTTTCTACAATTATCTCACACATTTGCCACCACCTTGACATTTTTATCGTTTTTCAATTGTAGATTGATTCTCAGCCCTAATAAATAATGTCAATTCCACCTTAGAGCGAGCACAAAATTGAATTAGCCAAGATGCCTCTTATGATAGCAATTGAGTAAGTTCCGCAAACGTCCGACTGCTGGCGCATAACTGTTAATCTGCAAATGTGTGTGCATTTGATTTTTCCTAATTCATCCTTACATCGGATGAAAAAAAGGTTTATAAACTTTTTCAGATCTTTTAAATTGTATAAATTCTGAACTAAAAAATTCTTCCAGTATAAGATACCAGACAGGAGAGATTTTATTTACTTTTAATTTTTCGCTATATCTTTTTCAAAGTTTTATAGTTAACATCCAGAGATTTCTGCCTTATATTTCTTATTCAACTGATAATTATGAAACATTATTGAATATTTTTCATCTTGTTTGGTATTTCAATATAATTTATAAAGGTTTTTATGTCGGTATGCACAAATGTGGGCGATGCATTGTTATACCTCGAATTCTGCATTACATGATTCCAAATATTTGAAAATAAATTATTTATCATAGACCCGAGTCGATGAAATTCCTCAAATGATAGCAAGACATACAGTTAAATAATCGCGACAGCTGTTTCAATTTATTTTGATAAAAAATTTCATAAACAATAACGTTGCTTGGTGACAGTGGCTTACCATC